CCCTCAGTTTCCCATTCGCAGCGCTCCCCATGGTGTCCTTTTGCTCACCCGTTTGTTTTTTGAGACGGGAGTTTCTCTCCATGTAGGCCAGGCTGGCCTCGAACTCAGTCTGTAGCCCAGGACCTTGAACTCCCAGAGCTCCTCCTGCCTCAGCCTCTGCTGCTGGGACTTCACCTGCCAGCACGCCCAGCTTTCACACTGGCTCTGTTGTTCAGGGTCTTCTCCTCTGCCGGACCTCAGGCCCGTGAGGGGCCTAGCTTTGGGTCTCCCAGGTTCAAACCCACATCACAGAGACATTGCCCAGCAAGGTGTTGAATGCATGCGCAAGTATCAAACCTGGAAAAGAAGGAGAAAACTGCCCTCCTTGTCTCAGTGCTATGGGAAGATGAAGGCCCCTCTGTGAGCTGGGGGTCTCAGTGTTGATCTGCTCAGCTTTAAAAAAGTTAGGGTCTGGGGCTGAGGATTTAGCTCAGCGGCATAAGCGCCTGCCTTGCAAGCAGGCAGTCATGAGTTCGACCCCTGGTACTGATAAAAAGGAAAAAGACAAAAAAAAAAAAAAAAAAAAAAAAGTTAGGGTCCAACACCGCATCTGGCTACATGCTGAGGCACGCAATCTCCAGCGCCTGGTGTGGTCACCCCACTGCCCACCACTGCCCCCCTCCGACTGGTACCGGAGCACACATGTTCAGCCCCAGAGGACACCCAAGCCCGGGAGCCCCATCTTCTACCCTCCCGGCCATCAGCAGCTGGGTGTCCAGGCCGGGACTGCAGTGCGTGACTCAGGCTGGCGACCTTTCCTGCAGCCGCTGCGCCCTGGGCAGTTTCCGAGGTTCCCCATGCTGCACCGCAGCTGGGCCTCTGCCCTTTCGGGGCTGAATAGTATTCCATTGTGTGCCGGCCGGATTCTGCCCCTCCAGTCATCCCCTGACTGGTGCTTGGGTGGCTTCCAGGCCGGGCTCTGGGATCTGCGCTCCCGGGAGCACGGTGTCCGGTGACTCAGGCCCGGCCTTTTTCTTTTCATTTTCTTTTCACTTTCCCTTAGATTTATTTTTCTTTCTTTCTCTCTTTATTTATCTCTTTATCTTTACAGCACTGGGGTTGAAACCAGAGCTTTGGACCGAGCCATGAGCCTTTAAAAGAAATTTTAAGACAAAATATCTTTATAATCCCAAGGTCCCCAGACTGGCTCAGACTCCAGATCCTCCTGTCTCTGCCTCCCAAGAGCTGCGATGACAGGCGTGCATCCCTGTGCTCAGCACCCGCCTTCCTCCCTCTCATCCTTCTTCTGTCCCTCTGTAGCACTTGCTCTGCCACTGAGCCACAGCGCCAGGCCCTCCAAAAGATGCATCGAGGAGACACGGCCACCTCGTCTCTCCCTCTGCAGTCCCTTTTCATGCCTGCATACTATTCCGATCACTTTATGCGCTGAAGGTAGCATGAGCATTTCCATGGAGTCTGCACACTCCTGGAGCTAACCATTGACAGGTGCTGGGAGTGGGATGTGCTAGGTGTGTGAGGTCCTGAATTCCAATCCCAGTACCTCAAAAAATAATAATACTTTTAAAAATCATTGACATTAGGACTTGAGAGGCTGAGGCAGGATTGCTGAGTTCAAGGCCAGCTTGGACACCTTAGTGAGAACTTGTCAAAATGAAACAGAACACTCGTAGCCCTTGTCCTGTGAAGAAGGGATGCCTGCCACCCAGGTCCCCCCATGGCCCCACAGCCTTGTCTTTTTAAGGTGCAGTCTCAAACTCGCTGGCTACAAACTCGCCGTGATCCTCCTGCCTCAGCCTCCCGAGTGCTGGGATGACAGGTGAGCGCCGTCATGCCCACCTTGCCCCACAGTCTTGGTGACCCATGGAGGGAGAAGCTGGAGAAGCAGAGCCCGAAGCTGCTTATATTTGGTCTATTTATAGCCCCGCCCCACGTCACCCGCCCCAGCTGGGGCCACCAGCGGGCCTGGGCGCTGGGGAAGGGGAAGTGTGTTGCTAGGTGCCGCAGTTTGTTTGGGGTGCTTGGGGTACAGTGGGTGCCCCAGCAGTTTCCTGAAGGGCTCCATTTCCTAGAAGCTGAGAACATCACAGTTACAGCTCTGCCCCTTTCGTCACCACCACCGGTAGGGCACGAACGCAGAGGCAGAGCCAGGTGTGGGGCTCTCAGCGCCCCAGGGAGCTCTGTGGGGCCTGGGAACGGAACCAGTTCGTCCCTCTGAGGTTTGAGGCCCTGATACCCATCCCCCACCAGCACCCTAAAAAAATTATGCTTTGAGACAGCCTCATGGTATAGCCCAGGCTGGCCTCCACCGGGGGATCCTCCTGCCTCAGCCTCCCAGAGCTGGGATTATAGGGCTGCACCTTGGCACCCAGCTTGGCTCTCTCAGTGTGGGGGCTCCTTCATCTCATCTCTGGACCCCTATTCTTTTTGGTTGTAGATTTTGAGACAGGGTCTCACTGTGTAGCCCAGGCCGGCCTCAAACTCACAGCGACCCTCCTGCCTCAGCCTTCCGAGTGCTGGGATCACAGGGGTGTGCACTGCCACAGAGCCAGCTCCTGTACCCTGCTCTGTGGCTCTGCACCCTCAGGGAATGAGCCCAGAGAATCCAAGAGTGAACCCCAGAAGGCAGCCGGGGTGAGCACCACCCGTCCCCAACTTGAGCTCTGCCTGGCTTCCTGGCGACGACAGCTGTCCCCGCTGACAATAGGGGGGCCGCCTGGCCGGAGCCGGAGTCAGCTGGGGGCTCATCCGCACAGCCGCCCGGCCGCTTCCTCTGCCATTGTCTCCACCAGGCATCCTGTTGTGTCCTCTCTGTCCGCCCCAGGACCCACGTGACCCCAGGCCGGGGCGCTGGGCATGGGCCATGGCACAGGACACCCCAGCAGGACGTTGGGCTCCCCCAGAGTCCCCATAGTAACACTGTAAGACACGGGCTCTGACATGAGTCCCAGAGAAGCCACATGGCCCTTAGAAGGACCACCCGGTCCTGCCACATGGGTGGGCTCTGTGACGGGGACCGGAGTCCTGGGCCTGCAGATGCCCCGTGGGTATCTGAAGCCAGAGGAGCTCAGGTCTGCACCTCCCCTTTTTGTCTGATCTGAAAGGCACTGGGTTGCCTGGGCTGGCTGCCTCGAGCTCAGGGTGACCCTCCTGCCTCAGCCTCTTGTCTTAATTTTGCAGGGGATTCAACCCAGGGCCCTCACACTGGGCTCCACACCCAGTGCTTTTTTTTTTTTTTTAATTTTTTTTTTTTGTCTTTTTCCTTTTTATCGGTACCAGGGATCGAACTCATGACTGCCTGCTTTCAAGTCAGGCGCTTATGCCACTGAGCTAAATCCCCAGCCCCACACCCAGTGCTTTTTAAAAAAATTTTATCTGGAGTCAACGTCTCATTAAATCGCCAAGTTGCCCCTACTGGGCTAGAACCTTCAATCCTCCTGCCTCAGCCTCCCAGAGTGCTGCAATCACAGGTGTGCGCCACCGCGCCCAGCTTCTCCCTTGGGTTCTGGGCCTCTCGTCTCTTTATCACCTGCTCAGCGTTGCATGCAGGCGTCTGTCTGAAACCAGCAATCTGGGTTTGGAGCCTGGAGGTCCCTCAGCCAGTGCTACCAGGCTGAGAGGGGCTGAGACCACACTGGGGACCCCAGAGCCCTGTAACATGCTGTCCTGGTCCCTGTTAGGCATCTCCAGCCACTGCCCTGAATGTGCGGTCACTTCTGCATGCAGAACTTCCAGGAATAGATCACCCGGATGAGGTCACTGTGGTGAGTCTGTGTGTGTCCTCAGGCAGCAGTGACCATCTGCCTCCCTCCCAGATAGCCATTAGGACTTCGTGGAGCTGGATGTGGTGACACACACCTGTGATCTCAGCACTGGGGAGGCTGAGGCAGGAGGATCACTGTGAGTTTAAGGCCAGCCTGGGCTACAGAGTGAGCTCAAGCCCAGCCTGAACTGCATAGCGAGAGTCTGTCTCAAAAAGACAAAAATAAAACTTTAATGGATTAATTCATTTTCATTGGCATCTATTTATTCTGTGTGAGGTGCAATCCTGGGGACGGGACCCAGGCCCTCCACAGGGAGCTCCATCCCAGCCCTTTTGATTTTCTTCTTTTATCCCGAAACAGGGTCTCACTGGGGATGAAACCCAGGCCTCGGGTGCCCTAGGCCGGCGCTGGCTGGAGCTGCGATCCCAGCCCAAAACACACACACACCAGCCTAGGTGCAGAGAGCCAGGTCTCTGGATCCGGGCTCACCGCTGCATCCCTAAACACGCTGGTCCCCACAGAGCTTCCCCTGAGCCGACCCTGCTAGCTGTGCCTCAGTTTCCCCACCAGTAAAGTGCCAGCCCCACTGCTGATCTGAGGAACTGCAGTCCACAGGAACAAAGGTCCTGTCCACACTGACTGAGGGCTTCTTAGACAGGGTCTGGCCACAGACGCAGTCCAGGCCGGCCTCAAACTCACTATGTAGCCCCGGGCAGGCCTTGAACTTGCGGTGATCCTCCTGCCTCAGCCTCCTCAGTGCTGGGATGACAGCCATCGTGCCCGGCTTATAAATTATATTTTTTATTATTCCTCCGTGGCTGCCACAGGTGTCACCGAGGGGCAGTCAGTTCTCCCTGCCTCAGGGTCCCTGTTGCTGGCTCTGACTCCCTCTTATGTTTTCGGGGTGCCCATCCTGCCACGCGGTGAGCTGCAGCCCCAGCCTGGTGCCTCAGTTTCCCCTGGCGGCCCAGCAGGAGCACAGGGCAGCCCCACACGGAGAGCGGGCCATTTCTGTCCTCCCTCGCTCCCCTTCTCCCTTCCCCTTCCAGTTTGGGGGACCTGAATCCAGGATCGAGGCCACGAAGTCCCAACTTTTTACTTTTTGTTTTGAAACACAGTCTGCCCAGCCGTTTTCACCTTCGGACTCCTCCACCTAAGCCTCCCAGAGTGCTCGGGTCACCGTAGGCGCGGCCACGCCCGCCCGGCCGGTCCCCACCCACCGAGGACGCTGCAGGCAAATCCCCGGGGAGATCCCCCCCCACACACAGAGGCAGGAGGGTCTCCGCGCTCCTGCGCTGGCGGCTGCAGGGCCGGCCGTGGGGCCGACCCCCCCCCCCCGCAGCCCGGGCCGGGGCGCCGCCTGCTCCCGCCCCCGGGGTTCCGGGGCGGGCTGGCACCTCCCACTCCATAAAGCCGGGCCGGCGCCGCGGCTCCCGGTCCTCAGCGCGTCCTCCCGCCCGCCGCGCCCGGTGCCCGCGTCCCCGAGTCCCCGGTCCCCGGCTGCAGCCATGGGAGCGCCGCACCACCTGCTCGGTAGGAACGGGAGCCTGCGCCCCGCGCGGGCGGGGGGCGCCCAGAGGGGAAACTGAGGCACGGGGCCACGTGCCTGTCCTGCCAGCGCTCGGGAGCCTGAAGCAGGAGAGTCCCACGTCTGACCCGAGCCAGGCAACTCAGCCGACCCCGACCCAGGCAAAGCAGGAAGGAAGGGACCGGGGCCCAGAGTGTGGGACCAGGGCTGGGACACAGAGGGGGGACCGGACCGGGGACCCTGCACCCTGGCCCTGGTGCCCAGGCCCGGGCCCGGGCCGGCGCCTTAGGCTGGGACCCGCCGAGCCCGGCCGCTTTGCCTCGGGCCGACCTGCCTGCCGCCACTTCCCCTCCCTACCACGCCCAAGGTGGCCCTAACGGTCGTGGGCAGCCATTGCCCAGGGGACAGGACAGGCGACACAGAGAATGCAGAAGTGACGCCGGGGACCGGCCGCCCTGGCAGGTGGCAGCTGGCAGTGCGGTGCGCCCGGGCTTGGCAGTGGGGACAGTTGGCTGGGCGGGGCAGCTGACCGGCTGGGCAGGGCTGTGTCCGGCCCAGGGACGGTGCCCGGAGCACTGTGGTCCTGGGCTGGGTGGCCACTACCCACCTCCCAGCTAGTGGGGAGGCTGAAGCGGGAGGATGGCAGGTGTCAGCCCATCTTGGGGCCCTATGAGGGGCTGGGGAAGGGGTGTGGCTCAGTGTTGGGGCACCCTGGCACCCCAAATGCCACATGGTTTTCTCCCAGCATCATTTGCTGTTGCACTAGTGGTGAACTCCTCTGGTTGGGTGCTGGGGTCTGGGTTCTTAGCAGGAGGCGCCCCCACCCCAACCCTGCCTGCACACCCCTCCCCTTGTGTCCCCAGCAGGGCCCCCCTCCTCTCCCTGCCCCGGCCCTGAGGATGGGAAGCAGATGTCCACACAGTGGCCAGCAGCCCTGCTCCGGCTCCCGTTTGGCTGAATTCCGAGTCCCCAGATGGGGATGCCTTGGCCTGGCCGCTTTTAGGATGGGAGGGGCCACCCCGGCTGAGTGTTGGGGTGCCAGAGAGCCCCCCTCAAGCCCACACCTCTGTCAGTCTGACCCTCCAGGCCTCACTTTCCCCATACACGCAGCCCCCCCCCCCCCGCGGGCTCTGTGGAAGCTGAGGAGTCCCTGGAGACATTGAGGGGGGCTCTGGAGACATTGAGGGACCCAGCCCACGGTCACCCTGTGGTCCCTGAAGGAGGAAATGGGGGTTTGTGGTGAGGGAGCCTGCCAGGCCCTGTGGCTGGAGGGGAGGAAGCCAGCTGGGGTGCGGGCACCGAGGGGGGCAGTGGGTTTGGGGGTCCGGCCTCAGTTTGGGGCGAGGTTGGAGGACTCCACGGTCCCCTGGGATGGGGACCCAGATTAGACACAGATGGGCCGGAGACCCAAGTCGAGGCCCCCAGCTCCTAGACGCAGGCCTAGGGCTGAGCCAGGGTCCCTGTACCCCCTGGGTGGTGAGTCACTGTCCCTTGGCCCAGGAAGTGACTCACTCGGTCCCAGGGTCCCTAGCCCTGGCCCATACTGTCATCTGGACCCCCAAGGTTCTGCCCCGCTGCTGGCAGGGACAGCAGCTGCGACCCTTTCCGAGCCCTGGTGGCTTCCGCCTCTTTCTCTCTGGCGTACAGGGTGCAGTGGCACCTGGGCCCCTGTCCCCAAGGCCCGGGCCTCCGAGATCTGTTTTGGGTTTGGCTGGCGGTGCTGGAGGTTGGACCCCAAGCCTCACCCTGAACCCCCTGCCCACCCCCCTTTTGTCTTATTCTGAGCTCAGCTCCCTAAGCTGCCCCGGCTGGGCTCCAGCTTCTATCCTCCTGCCCCAAGCCCAGGCCTCCATCTCCATCCTGACTCTGCCCTGGGGGCTACAGGGGGCAGAGCCCAGGAGGGGCAGCCTTGGCCCCCTGCCCCCTTCCCCACTGACCCTGCCCTGTGGCTTGCAGTGCTCTGCACCCTGCTGCTGCTGGGAGCCGGAGCCCAGAAGGACAAGGGTGAGTCAGTGACCCCGGGCTGGGGACAGAGGAGGTGGCCGGGAGGCCCAGGGCTGGTGCCCCCGGTGACCACCATGGCCTCCGCTCCCACAGGCTGTGCCCGGTGGTGCCCTGTCAACTCCATCTGTATAGACGCCAACAGCTGTCGCTGCAACAGTGGGTTCACCCCGGAAAACATCACCAGCGTCTTGGAGAGCTGCGATGGTAGAGGCCCGGGGACTGCGGGGCACACAGGGGAACACAGGGAGGGCTGGAAGGCGCGGCCTGGGCCCTGTCCTCTCAAACTCAGAGAGGCTGAGACAGGAGGGGGCAAGCTCAAGCCCTGTGGAGGCCACACTGAAGGGACGTAAAAAAGGCTGGGGGTGTAGTTAAGCACTCCTGAGCTCAGCCCTAGGGTCACAAGAGAAGAGGAGGAGGGAGAAGGAAAGTGGCTTCCTGGACAGAGGGGTGCTCAGCTCTGTGCCTCAAATTGTCCTGGGCACCGAGGAGAGGAATGCTGAGCCTCTCCCACGCCTAGTCCCCTGCCTAGTCACTCTCCGCCCCATGTGCAAATCTGGGGCGTCAGCCAGGGCACCCAGATGCACAGAACGGGCTACCTAAGCTTCAGGAACGGCTTGCTCCAGCTGCAGTGTGGCCTCTGCAGGGCAATCCCGGATGTCTCCCAGAGGAGTCAAATTCTGCCGGATTCAAATTCAAATCCAAAGGATTCAAATTCTGTAAAAAGAGGAAGGGGGCCAGGGAAGTAGCTCAGCTGCACAAGTGTCTGCCTGGCAAGAGCAAGGTTCTGAGTTAGAGTCCTAATCCCCAAACAGAAGAGGATTGGAACTCACCGTTAGCCCCGGGCTGGGGCTGGGGCTGGGCGCTGACTCTGTCTCCTGCTGCATTCCAGACATCAATGAGTGTGGGCCGCCCTTGAGCATATCCTGTGGGAAGTATGCCGACTGCCAGAACACACATGGGGGCTATTACTGCATGTGCAGCCTGGGGTACGAGCTTGAGTCCGGAGGGAGAAATTTCAGCCACCCGCAGAACAACACGTGTAAGGGTAAGGACCTCCCCCACCTGAGGCTGGGGGCCAAGGGCCTGGCCTGGTGACAGGTGTGGCCCAGGTACCCCTGGCCCTGGGCTGAGGCAGGGCCAAGAGCCATGTACCCGTCGGCAGCTTGCATAGAAACCTCGCTGACAGTGTGGTGCAGTGACAGCGCTGTGCTTCTGTGTAAAGGAGGACAGGGGAAAGGGCCTATTTTATTTACTTGTTTACTTTTGTCTTTTGGAGACAGTCTCACTGTGCAGCTCAGGCTGGCCTTGAGCTCACTTTGTAGCCCAGGCTGGTCTTGAACTTGTAATCCTCCTGCCTCAGCCTCCTGAGTGCTGAAATGACAGGCAATTGCCACGTGCAGGACCACTTTTTAAAATCTTGAGGTAGGGTCTTGCTACATTACTGACTTTTCAGTGCTGGGCTCAAATTTGGGATCCTCCTGCCTCAGCCTCCGGAGTACAGCCCACAGCAGCTTCATTTTTGTTCACTGTGTGACCATGGACAGTTACTCGCCCTCTCTCTGCCTCTGTTTCCCCATCTGTAAGAAGAAAGGAACAGGGCTGGGGTTTAGCTCAACGGCATAAGAGCCTGCCAGACAAGTACAAGGTCCCTAGTTCGACTTCCAGTACCAAAAAAAAAAAAAAAAAAAAAAAAAAACAACCATAGGAGCTGCGGCTCTTGCCTCATGGAATTGCTAGGATCTGAAGGTGGATGGGAAGAGCTTTTGGGACCTCCAGCCTCTGGGCACAGAGCCCAGGACTCTGCACGATGGCAGGCAATCACTGCAGCCAACTCTGAAGCCTTGGGACCTGACTTCTACTGGATGGGCACCATGGGGCGTGGTCTGGGGCCTGGAGAGCCCTGGTCTTTGGTTTGTCACAGGACTGCATCACGGCCCCACAGGGCCCTCTGAGCACCTGGTCCCCAATACCCAGAACCCTCCACTTTGGGGAGACCAGAAGCTGCCACCCATCTGCATCTCATTTGCATAAAGGAGAAGGGGCGGGGCCAGGGTCCCACCAGCCTGGCGCCTCCTTCCTGTTCCCAGCCACAGCCTCTATGATGCCAGCCACATTGGGCTCAGCTGTGCCTACAAACATCCCCCGCCTCCCCGTCACCATGGACCCAGGTACTTGGGCCAGACCCTCAGGAAGAAGGACAAAGGGTAGGCACGGGGTCCCCACACCACCCTGCCCAGGGACTTTGGGCCCTGTCCCAAAGCAGGTCACTGTGGTCCCTCGAGGCCTGGAGCCCAGAGGGAGTTGGGTGGAGGAAGACGCTGGAGCCTGGGCCACAGCAAGAGGGTGGCCCTGAGGGGACGGGGACGGAGACGGAAGCTGGGCCCAGGTCTGCACCCTGGTGGGAGGTGACACACAGAGGCTGGAGCGCCCCCACCGGATCCTTGTCCCAGCTGCCCGGAGTGGGCCCAGGACCGGATGCCAGTTGTCACCACCGGCCACCTCTGTGGCGATTGGGCAGGGAACCTGGATGGACCTTGTGGCCGGCACCATGTTGAGGAACTCAATTCCTGAGCCTGCAGCCGAGCCTCTGGGGGACCCTGACTCAGGGCGGGGATGACAGTGCTGCCCTTCGAGGTCCCCACGGTGCCAAGGGACGTGGGCTGGGAGCCCTGGAAGAAGAGGTCATGGGTCACTACGTGGAGCCAATATGGGCCGCTCAGCAATGTGGGTCCCCTGCGTTCAGGGCCCTGGAGGCCCATCTGGCTGGGACACGTTGGTGGTGACACCCCTGCCACTGCTGGGGCTAGACTGTGGCTGGGAGGCCTTGGCAGCTTCCGGCCACATTTGGACGGCAGTCTGGGCCACCGCCCTCACCCTGGTCGCCCCCGTGAGAACTGAGAGAGAGCCGCCGGGTCCTCCAGATGCCACCATGCCAGGGAGCCCAGCCCACACCCAGCTGGGAGCCACTGCCTTGCAGCCATCTGCCCTCTCCTTCCAGATGGGCCCCAGCCAGCGCAGGACACCACAGTCTGCCCATGCCAAAGCTCTGTCAGCAAGGACGAAAAACCCACCTGTGTCTGCCCGCCAGGGTTTCGGTGCACCCCGGAGGGCCCCAAGCAGTGCACAGGTAGCAGCCCGGATGGAGAAGAGGCTGGCAGGGGTGGGGAGGCGCCAGGCGGGCCCTGCCAGGAGGGCGGAGATCGGTGGTTTCCACAGTCCTTCCCAGAAGGTCTCATCCAGGGGCCGAGCAGGGCCTGTCCTCCTGGACTTTCCCGGACATCACCCCCTCCTCGCACTCACGTCCAGTCCTCAGAAGGGCGGCTTGTACCGTGGCCAAGGAGAAGCAAAGGCTTGTGGTCACAAGTCCAGCTTCGGGGACCCAGATGGACCCTCTGGCCTGAGATACAGTTTCTCTCCTGGTTTCACTTCTTAAAAACTGAAGATACCGGGTCCGGGATGCAGCTCAGCAGCACAGTGCCTGCCTGGCAAGCTCAAGGTCCTGAGTTTGATTCTGGACACCAAAAAAACAAAAACCTACAAAAAACCTGAAGACACCCCATGCTGGGCCCCTCATGCAGGCATGGCCAGCACCACAGGATGCTCCAAAGGTGGAGCTGAAAGTCCCCAGGTGGTGGCACATGTAGGAAAGATCCTGGGTAACAAGACAGGCCTAGTGGGGCACACTTGTCATCCCAGCACTCAGGAGGCTGAGGCAGGGGGATCACTGCCATTCAAAACCAGCTTGGGCTACAGAGCTCAAGGCTGCATAATGCAACCTGTCTCAAAAAGACAAAAACAGGTGTAGGCAGCGTGCTGCATGGCGGGGGAGGGGGTGTGTGAGGCCCGGCTCTGGCTACTTTGTCCCCAGATGTGAACGAATGCCTCTCTGGACAGAGCCTGTGCCACAGCTCCACCCACTGTATCAACAACCGGGGGAGCTACCTGTGCAAGTGCCGCCGTGGCTGGAGGCCAGCGCCCGGGTCCCCCGACGGCCCTGTCAACACGGTCTGCGAAGGTCTGAAGCCCAGATGACCTGGTCCGAGGGTCCTGGCACCCACGGTCCAAACTGCTGACCGCAGACAGAGTCCTCTGCGCCGGGCACGTGGGCCCTTGAGGCCGGATGAGAAAGTCCAGGGTGTCCCAGGGGGGACAGACAGGGAGGCTTGCAGGGGACCCCCGGTGGCACCTGATTTCTCCCGGGCAAGAGCCTTTCCATGATTTCCTGCCTTGCACACAAGCATGTGCTCTGCTGGGCGTGGGGTCCCCAGGTGGCCAGGGCCAGGCACCGCTTTGGGGCAGAAGGCAACGGGCCAGGAGGCCTGACCCCCAATGTGTGTCCCCAGATGTGGATGAGTGTGCCACCGGGCAGCACGCCTGCCACAACTCCACCGTGTGCATCAACACCCAGGGCTCTTACAAGTGCCGCTGCCTCCCGGGCTGGAAGCCGCTGCCGGGATTCCGCAATGGCCCCAAGAACACCATCTGCCAAGGTATGGCCTGGCCGCCCCGCACCCGCCCCTGCCCCCCGCGGAGCGCAGCTTCCTGAGCCCCCTCCTCACCCTCACAGAGGTCATCTTCCCTGGCTGGAACCCGCCCCCCGGGATCCCCAGCAAGGTGAGCACCCCTGCCCCACCCCGAGGGCGGGACCCTTCCAGGCATGTTCGCCCGCACCCCCACCCTGGCTCGCCAGGTTGGCTGACGCCTTGCACCCCTCCTGCACCCTCCAGAGTCTCTTGCGCTTCTACGATGAAGTCCAGGGCCTGAGCAGAGACTTCAAGCCCCAGGTGGCTGAGCAGACCATCACGGTAAGGGCGGAACCCGGGGGCACCCGGAATGTCACGGGCGGGGGGCGGGGGGGGGCAGGCGAGGACAGGGGCTGCGATGTGGGTGGAAACGGCCTCCACCCAGGCGGACTTCCAGGCTGACACACGTGTGTGCAAGATACACCGACATGTGTATGCCCCTTACACACACGAGGGCAATAAGGAGCAGACCGGAGCAGGCAAGAACCGGACCTGGGGTCTGGTGTGACATGCACCCTTGTAATATCAGCTGCTAGGGAGGCTGAGGCAGGAGGGTCACAAATTCTAGCCCGACCTAGGCCCCTGTGCAATTTGGGGAGACACCGTCCCAAAATAAAAAGGAGGTGGGGATGGAGCCGGGGGCAGCAGCTCTGCCCTCGAGGCCCAGGACTGGGCCTGGAGGACCCGGCTTGCTGCCTGAGCTCTGGCCGAGGACTGCCCTCTCGGGGGCCCACTTCCTCCCGTGACCAGCAGGGAAATCTGGCTGCGCTGATCAGCTCGAGGCTGTAAGGAACCCTAACTTGCGCCAAGGAGCGGAGTGAGTAAGGTTGAGCCCAGTAGAAATATCAGGTGAAGCCAAGAAGAGTGGGGCGTGGCAGCCCAGGGTCACCCGGGATCCCCGGACCCTGAGAGGCTGAGGCAGGAGGTTGCAAGTGCCAGCCCAGCCCAGAGGATTTAGCAAGTTCTGGAGACTCTGTCTCAAAGTAGAAATGGGTTGAGTATGTGGCCGAGTGCAAAGCTCTAGCGTTGGGCCTCAGTACCAAAAAAGAAAAAGGGAAAAGCCCCAGAAAATACAACCTACTCACATCATTTTAACTATTCTTTTTTTTTTTTTTTTAAATTTTTTTTTTTTTTTTATCAGTACCGGGGATTGAACTCATGACTGCCTGCTTGCAAGGCAGGTGCTTATGCCACTGAGCTAAATCCCCAGCCCCCATTTTAACTATTTTGTAGCTACATATTTTAAAAATACTATAAGAAAATAAGTGAAAATGTAAAGATTATACGGTTAAGGGTGTGATTCAGTGGTAGAACACCTGACTGAACACACCTGACTGAACATTTAAGATTTTAGTAGGTTCCCAACATGGGGGGAAAGTATATATATATATATATATATATATGTAATTTATATGTAATTTACATATATTTTATATGTGTATATTTTTTACCTTACAGATCCAAAATAGTACCCATTTCAACACGGAATGATTTTCATGTTTTTTTTTTTAATCGATACCAGGGATCGAACTCACAATTGCCTACTTGCAAGTCAGGTGCTTATGTCACTAAGCTAAATCCCCAGCCCCCGATAGTCATGTTTTCTTTATTTATTTGTTTTGGTACTGGGTATTGAACTCATGACCTTGAGCTTGCCAGGAAGACACTTATACCACTGAGCTAAATCCCCAGCCGTATTTCTTTTGAGGCTGGTCTTGGATTTGTGGCAATCCTCCTGCCTCAGCCTCCTGAGTCCTGGGATTATAAGCGTGCACCCATCACATCTGGCAGGATGATTTTCAAACCCTGAAACATCTTACATTTATTCTTTCAAGCTGTCTTGTTTGTTTGAGACGGGGTCTCATGCGCTCCAGGCTGGCCTTGAACTCTATGTAGCCCCAGCTGGCCTCAAACTGCAATCCCCCTGCCTCAGCCTTCCCAGCACTGGGGTTACAGACATGCTCCACTGTGCCGTGTCATGTATCTGACACTTCAGAGCAGGTCCAGACACCTTCTGAGCGCTCAGGGGCCAGGCTGGCTTGCAATGACTGTCCTGGCAGGTGGTGCCCTCCAGGGCAGTGAAGATCCCCAGGGAGGGGTCCCCAGGGCCTCCCTGCCTGGAGATACGGACCGAATCCCAGCTGTGGCTCCACAATCTAACATCTCTGCCATCCCTCACTCCCAGAAACTTGTTGAGGCCATGGATGGGCTGCTGGCTGCCCCCGGGGAAATACAGGACCTGACTCCGGAAGACCAGTATCTCGTGGCCACCTGGTTGCTCTCAAACGTGGAGCACACCCTGAGGTCCCTGGCCCAGGCCCTGCCCGAGGGCAGCTTCACCTACACGTCCCGGGCTGGCACAGGTGAGGCTCCCCCCCAGTCCGCCCCGTCCCACCGTGCCCCTGCCTGCACCCTGCATCCCCAATCTCTGTCACTTCCCCACAGAGCTGTCCCTCGTGGTTAAGGAGGAAGGCAGTGGAAACATCACCTTGGGCCAGAGCTACGCACGGGTGCTGCTGGACTGGGCTGTGGCCACAGGCCACAATGCAAGTAAGGGTTGGGGAGGAGACGGACCCAGGACAAACCAAGCTGTTATTGGAGGGTTGGATCTAAGTGGGACTGCCTTGGGTGGGAGTCTGGGGTACAGAGATAAGGGTGAGAAGGGCAGTGGGCCTGTCCATCCCCAGGCTATGCCGTGGTGGGCGTCCTGTCCAGCCAGTACATGACAGAGCTGCTAGCCAACACCTCCCTGGTTCTGGAACCCGAGAAGCTACTGCAGCTGACAGAGGCCCACGAGAGACCCATCCGCGGGGCACGGGCCACACTCCTCTCAGCCATCAACTCTGTGTTTGTGAGCAACGCCGACACGGACAAACTGGCCTCCCCTGTCACCTTCGCTTTCTCCCACCAGGTGAGTCCTGAGGAGGGAAGGGAAGGCTCTATTGCCTATTCCACAGACATACCCCAGCGCCTTTGCACTGCTGTGTCACTCTGCCTGGGAACTCTTCCCCATGCCACACAATCCTCTGTGCACTTCTAGTATTTGTTCAAAGGTCACCTCACATGCCTTTCCCAACTTCCTTATTTAAAAGTACTGTACAGGGCTGGGTCTAGCTCAGTGGCACAATCGCCTGCCTGGCAAGTGAGGGGTGAGAGGTCCCAAGTTCAGTCTCCCATATAAAAAAAAAAAACCCTACTGAGCAGGCTTGGTGGCACACACCTGTAATCCTAGCACCTGTGAGGCCTAGGCAGGATTTCAGGCAACTCCACAAGACACTGTCAAAATAATTTTTTTGGAGGCAGGGTTACACTAGGGTTACACCAGGGTTCAGGCTGGCCCTGAGCTCACTGTGTAGCTCAGACTGGTCTCAAACTCACAACAATCCACCTGCCAGCCTCCTGAGTACTGGGATGACAGGCGTTTGTCACCACCCCAGCTTCAAAATTAAATTTTAAAAGGGCTGGGTGCAGCTCAGGGACGGAGCACCTGCCAATCATGCACGAGCCCATCCCCAGCGCTGGGAAACAACAACAAATGACAGGCTGGGTGTGGGGGTGCACGCCTATAATCTGGGCACTGGAGGCAGGAGCATGGCTGTGACTTGGAGGCCAGCCTGGGCTACAGTGAGTCCAAGCGCAGCCTGCACAGCGCAGCAAAATCCTGCCTCAAAAAGACAAACAAGACACTCGGTATCACAGCTTTCACGTGATTGCTTTCCCTTCCTCGAGGCACTCGCTGCCCTTTACGCACTGTCCAGTTCAGTCCAGTGTCGTGTTTATGACCTGCGCGTGTCCCCAGCGCTGCGCTGTGGGGCTGACATGTGTGTGCCCTTTCAGCCGAGCTGCCCCATATCGGTGCACCCGGGACGCTCAGTGGAGGACACTGAGCAGCCCCAGCAGCCCCGGGCGCCCCAGGCCAGACTCTGACACCCCGACACCCCGTGTCCCCACAGCCCGAGGAGCCCGGCACCGAGCTAGTCTGCGCCTTCTGGAAGCGGGACGGCTCCGGGGGCGGGCACTGGGCCACCGAGGGCTGCCGGAAGCGGGGCAGCGGACAGAACAGCACCACCTGCCAGTGCGACCACCTGAGCAGCTTCGCTGTCCTCATGGCCCACTACCAGGTGGAGGTGCGCGCTGGGCCCCGGGAGCCCCACGGCAACGGCAGCCGGCGCGCTCTGGCCTTGCGACCTCTGAGAACCCGCCCACCTGTCCCTAGGACTGGAAGCAGAGCCTGATCACCAAGGTGGGGCTGTCCGTGTCGCTCGTCTGCCTGTTGCTGTGCATCCTGACCTTCCTGCTGGTGCGGCCCATCCAGAGCTCGCGCACCACAGTGCACCTCCACCTCTGCATCTGCCTCTTCGTGGGCTCAGCCATCTTCCTGGCGGGCGTTGAGAACAAGGGCGGCCAGGTAGGCCCCGCCCCACTCGTCTGACCAATGGGGGTACTTTTGGGGGGAACCGCCCGCGCGTGTTGGCATCTGGCCCCGCCCAGACCGCCAGGCCTCCACTTGCCCGCCTTTCTCAGCACAAAGCCAAAGGCCACGCCCATTCCCATCCCCTGGGTATTGGACACACTTTGGAGGGGCTGGCCCCGCCTCCCCAAGGCCCGCAGCAGGGGATTGGTCGGGCCGTGCGCGTCCCGCCCCCGCCGCGGCCGCGGCCCCGCCCCTGACCGCCCCGCACCCGCAGGTGGGGCTGCGCTGCCGCCTGGTGGCCGCGCTGCTGCACTACTTCTTCCTGGCCGCCTTCTGCTGGATGAGCCTGGAGGGTGTGGAGCTCTACTTCCTGGTGGTGCGCGTGTTCCAGGGCCAGGGTCTGCCCAAGCGCTGGCAATACCTGCTGGGCTATGGCGTGCCCCTGGTCATTGTGGGCATCTCAGCGGCCACCAATAGCGAGGGCTACGGGCACGCGGCGCAGTGAGTGGCATGGCGGGGTGGGCGGGGCGAGCCGGGCAGGTGGTGGGGCGTGGGGACCCCACTTCACTGACCCCACCCGACCTCCACCAGCTGCTGGCTGGACCCCCGGCGGGGCTTCCTCTGGAGCTTTCTTGGACCCCTGACCTTCGTCATCCTGGTAGGTGTCCCTGGCCGCGCCCATTGCCAGCCCGCCCACCCCCGCGCCCCCCTAACCTGTGCCACCCCGCAGTGCAACGCAGTCATCTTCGTGGTCACCGTGTGGAAGCTCACGCGCAAGTTCTCCGAGATCAACCCGGACATGAAGAAGCTGCGCAAGGCCAGGTCCGGGCGTGAGCGGGCGCGGGTGGGTCGCCTGGGTCCCTGCTCCGCAGCCGCCACCGCAGCTGCCGCCTCCTGTCTCCGCAGGGTGGTGACCATCACGGCCGTGGCGCAGCTATTCGTGCTGGGCTGCACCTGGGGCTTCGGGCTCTTCCTCTTCAGCCCCGAGAGCTGGCACAACACAGTGCTAGCCTACGTGTTCACGGTGCTCAACTGCCTGCAGGGCACCTTCCTCTACGTGCTGCACTGCCTGCTCAACAAGAAGGTGCGGCAGGCTGGGAAGGGGGGCTGGGGGGACAGTGGGCTGGGGGGCAGCAGGGCCCCGTCTCACCCTGACCGGCCGGCCCCAGGTGCGTGAGGAGTACCGGAAGTGGGCCTACGCTCTCACCGGGAACAAGTACTCAGAGTTTGCCTCCTCCACGGCTAGCAGCAGCCAGCAGACCCGGGTGAGGACCGAACCAGTCGGGCGCAGGGATGGCGGGGTGGGGCCCCCTGGGCGCATGGGCCTCACGGCTGCTCTCTTCCAGGCCCTCAGGCCATCGGAGTCTGGGATGTGACCTCCTGGCCTCTCCCATGCTGACCACGCCCTGTCCCGACTCCTGGCTGCCTGGGACAGTGTGCAGCACAGAGGACACATAGGACACACAGGCTGTGCCTAGACTGCGGGATGCTGGACTGCAGGACAGTGGGGACCTGCTCTGGCTCCCCCGCCACATCCCAGCTGTGGCTGATAAGCTGGGCCAGGCCGGGCCAGGGGTGGGTGGCTGGGGGCCCTGCCTTGACCTGCCCCGCGCCAGGCTGGAAGAGGCTGGAGCCCAGGCTCCCTAAGCTAGCACTGGTGGCATGACCGGCTCCCTGGCCATGCAGACACTCACGGTACAGAGGCTGCCACCTGCGCCAGGGCGCAGTGTCCTCACATCTGAAGGTCGCTGATGTTTTGTTTTTGTTTTTCCCGGGAGGACTGAGAATCAAACTCAGAACCTTAGTGCTTGCCAGGCAGGCACTATCCACTGAGCTGTGTTTTGTTTTGTTATCTGTGTAAACCTCTCAATGTGGACACAAAATTAAATGTTGCACTGATACACGGGGTGGGCTCACTGGTGCAGGGGTTGATGATGCTGGCAGGGGATCAAAGAACCAATGGAAGGAAGGAGACACAGACATAGGGAGCCAGGCTTCCATAATAAAAATGTATTCTTACACAAATCTACAGCTCTTCAACAGTAAAAAGAGCCTGTCTGAGGCATTGCAGGACAGGCAGGAGGGCAGCAGGAGGGCACGGGCTTCCAGGAGCGTGGTTACCGGCTCTGCTCAACTGTGGGGATGCAAGGTGGCAGTGAGGCAGCGCCCCATCCCCTGCCCAGGGCCCCGCCACCTGCCATGCGGCCACTTACTATATGTGGAGATGTCGATCTCTTCCGGGAGCTCGGCCACGTTCACCTCAAAGCGGTCCTGGACATCGTTAAGGATCTTGGCGTCATTCTCATCGGACACGAACGTGATGGCCAGGCCTTTGGTGCCAAAGCGGCCTGCTCGGGCCACCTGTGGGGGTGGGTCAGGGGGTCAGGCAGCAGCCGGGGTCAGCAGCCTGTGTCTCCCGGGCCCCTCGGGGCGTGCCTCACCCGATGCAGGTAAGTGTCCGAGTCCTCCGGCATGTCGTAGTTGAAGACTATGTTGACGCGCTCGATGTCCATCCCGCGTCCAAACAGGTTGGTGGCCACCAGGATGCGCCGCTGGAAGTCCTTGAACTGCTGGTAGCGCGACAGACTGGGCACGGGCAGATGGGAGAAGGCTGTCACCCAAGGTCCCAGGCTCCCGGCGCCGGCCCCGGCCAAGTGTGCTGCCCCCAACTCACCGCTCCTCCTGCGCCATGCCACGGTGGATGGCGATGGCTGGGAAGTTCTGCTCCACCAGGAGCTGGGCCAGTGCCATGCAGCGCTGCACCGACTTCACGAAGATCACCACCTGGGGAGAGGGCAGGCAGTCAGTGGCTGTGCCAGGCGCTAGCCCAGACCTGGAGTGGCAGTGGTGGCGGCAGCGGCACCTGATTGAACTCTAGCACGTCCAGCAGGTCGAAGAGCTTGCGGTTCTTCTCGCTGTCTTTGAGCTTCACGTAGTACTGCTGCAGGCCGTGCAGCGTGAGCTTGGTCTCGTCGTCCACGAACACCTCCATGGGCTGTGTGGGGGAAGCGGGAGGGGCGCGCGGGGCTCACTCGGGGGCGCGGTGCCCGCCCTGGACCTTGTGGCCGGTGGCTCCTGGCGGCGGTGCTTCCCGGGGCCTGTGGCCGCCTCGCTCAGCTCCACCGCGGCCTCCCGGCGTCCTCCGTGCCACGGGCCAGCACAGGCGGGCATCACCCTACTCACGTCCTGCATGAACTTCCTGCAGACCGGCCGGACCTCCTTGCCCAGGGTGGCGCTGAACATCATGCACTGCTTCTCATGTGGCGTCAGGCGGAAGATCTCCTGCACGTCCCGCCGCATGTCTGCGGGAGGTGGTGACCGGCATGAGCGCCCCCACCGGACCCTCTAAGCCAGCCCGGAGCCCCCCGCTGAGCCAGGACCGCACTGGCAGGGTGGACTGGGCCAGGAAGCCGCAGGTGGCACCAAGCGTCCTGGCGCCAGAGGGGCTGGACGCGGGCAGGGAGCGTGGTCCACTTACACGGCCTGCTTGGGCAGCCGGGCCACCACGCCTCGAGCCATGCTCCGGGGAGGGCAGCCTGCGGCACAGAAGCCACAGGGTGAGGGCCGCCCCGGTAGGGCATGGCCGTCCCCCTGCCTCGGGTCATGGGATATACACTATGGGGTGATAGAAGCCTGGAGCCCCACTGCGCTCGGGCTTGTGGGCAGCCTGTCACTGCCTCGAGGCCACCAGCAGAGATCCCTCTCTGGCCGCTGCCCCACACCCCTGGGCTCCCTGGGGGCCCTGGGCCCAGCAGGGACACTCACCCAGTTGCTCCAGCATCTTGTCACACTCATCCAGCACGAAGTGCTTCACGTTCTTCAGGTTGAGGCTCCTGTTCCGCACAAGGGCCAGGATGCGACCCGGGGTTCCCACCACTACATGGGGACAGTTCCTTTTCAGCACCTCCTCATCCTTCTTGATGGACAGGCCTCCAAAGAACACGGACACCTGTGGGCGCACAGTATACTGCGGGAGTGCCCTGGCTGGGCTGCACATAGCTCACAGGCTCCTGGGCAACACAGGGCACAGCCAAGGCTGCTTGACGCAGTGTGGGGGCAGCAGGTGGCGGGCCTCACCTTGACGCTGGGCATGTACTTGGAGAAGCGCTCGTACTCCTTGCTGATCTGGAAGGCCAGCTCCCGTGTGTGACACATGACCAGGACAGACACCTGGGAGTAGACGGGAAGCAGTGTCCCTGTGGGTGGGTTCCTCCATCCAGAGCCGACACCGGCCAGGACACCCAGGACACTACGGCCCAGGGCCAGCACCGTGGCCCCCGCCCTACACTGACACAGGACCCATGGCAAGGCTGGTGGTCACTGTCAGACCTGCCCAGCCCAAGACTGCTGGACACTGGGGCCTCACTGGAACTGCCCATTGAGTCCTGGCCTTCATGATCCACCTTAAGAAAGGAAGCAAATCCACCATAACTTTTTTGGTGACAGGGTCTCGATAGGCAGTCCAGGCTGGCCTCAAACTTGCAATGATCCTCCTGCCTCAGCCTTCTGAGTGCTGGGATGACAGGTATGCAGCACCATGCCTGGCTTTTTTTCTTTTTTGGTGCTGGGCATCAAAGCCAGCCCATGCAGCCATGCACAAGGTCACCACTGCGCTACACTTTCAGACCCACAGTTGTTCTGAGGTGGCGGAATACAATGTTGGTCAGATCACCACAGCGGTAGAATGCCCCCTTCAGTGCACACCACACTGAGGCTTATAGCTGGATCCCCCACTGAGGTAGCAGGCTGAGTCAGGGGGCTTCCAAGTTCCAGCACAGCCTGGGGAGCAAAGTCCTGGGGCCCTGATCCGCATTGTCTCTGGTGGGAAGCCAGTGGCACTCAGCAGGCCTCATAGCACAGGACGCCTGTGTTTCCTAACGTCAGAGCCCAGGGTAGAGCAGGAATGTCATGGGGTGGTGGCAGGCAGGGAGGGAGGGAGGGCAGGGGAGACACCCACCTGGCCGTTGACTGGCTCAATCTGCTGCAGGGTGGCCAGCACGAAGACCGCCGTCTTGCCCATCCCGGACTTGGCCTGGCACAGGACGTCCATGCCCAGGATGGCCTGGGGGATGCACTCATGCTGCACTGCAGGGGGAAGCGCTCGTGAGCGGCACGGAGCCTGACCGCGGGCACACGCCCCAGCCCACGGGCGGGTGGGCAGGCGTACCCTCCGAGGGGTGCTCGAAGCCACAGTCCACGATGGCCCGCAGGAGCTCTGGCTTCAGCAGGAAGTCCCGGAAGCCCGAGCTGTGGATGGAGACATAGGAGCCCTTCACGTCCTTCTTGGGAAGCACAGGGGTGCTCTCGGCAGGCGCCTGGGGCTCCTCATCTTCCTCATAATCCAGAAGCTCATTTTCCACGTCCTGCTCTGCCATGGTGCTAGGGACAGAAGGAAGGAAGGGCTGAGTGTGGCGAATGGCAAGCAAGGGGAGAGGCCACCAGGAGGGCACGGGCATGGGCATGGGCAGGGCCACTCTTGGCCCCTCTGCTCCAGTCCCAGATTGGGCTGTGGTTACCAATCTCCCCCGCCTCCTTGTGCACCACTGGGAACCCCCTGCTCCTGGGCGCAGTGACGCGGCTCAGTGCTGGGTGCTGACCTGGCACACGGAGGCCCCTGGCTCCACGAGATCCCCTGGGTGCCTCAGCCCCCATCACATGCCTCCCCCTTAGCGCGCTGCTCAGCACTCTGGCCCAGGTTTGCACATGCGCTCTTCCTTCCTGACACCAGAGCCTCAGTCTCAGGACCGCCAGGCCTGGATGGGGACCCACAGGGTGGCTGTGGGGCTGCAGGGAGGGGAACGTAGGCCACGCGGTGGAGTGAGCAGGCCCCATTCCCCTTCCCTGAGGTCTACACGGGGAGAAATTAAGTGCATTTGTGAAAAGCCTCCCATGGGCCTGGCAGGAGAAACAGGATAAGGCAAATGGGATTAGCATGAGGTGCCCCACCCCCTCCAGCCCTGGAGAGCCAGGAACCACACTTAAGCACGATCCCTCAGCTCACGGTCCCCCAGCTTGGACCTCAGGCCCTGAGGTACAGGGCCTCCTCTTGTCACACTCCTCTAGGCCCTTCTGTCACCTCCCCCAGTCCCAGGCTTTAACTGAAACTGTTGTGCTAAAGCTTCAACTATCTCTAGCCTGGCCTCCCCCAGATATTGGGCCCAGCTCCTCACCAGCTGCATCTCCCACTCTCGGCCACAGGCCTGCACCCCATCTCAAGACACTGCACCCCCATCCTCATGTTGTCATCCCTCTCACCCTCCTGTTCAACTGGCCAGAGATTTCTACCCACCAGGCCCTCCAGGACCGGCCTGGCACTTCCCATGACCCCAAGCCCCTACCACCTTCCCTTCTTTTATATCAACTTTTTTTTAGTACTGGGACTCAAACTCAGGGCCTTGCGCTTGCCCGGCAGCGCCATGCTGCTGAGAAGTATCTCAGCTCCCTTTCCTTTGAAGAAGAGCAGCTCTGCTGAGGCCTCACATGCCCTGTAACTCGTCAAGCAGAGCCCGAGATTCAGCAGGTTTTGGTGCAGTCATAGATGTGGGTGGTTATCACCACACCCAGCTTTAAGGCCTCAGAAATAAGCGTCCATCCCCTTTCAAGTTTGTTCACACTAGTACATGGATCAGGACTGTTATTTTTCATTGCCAAATAATATTCCTTCACAGGAGCATTCTGCGTTTTGCAGCCTGGGTAACATGTTTTGCCTGCATTACGTCCATCTCTCTCCCTGGCTCCCTGTTCCTGTCCTCCCACCCTCCAGCTACAGCAGTCAGAGGCAGAGCTGAATTGTTGCTGGCCTGCAACCCCAGCACTCTAGAGATTAAGGCAAGATAACTCAAAGTTCAACTCCATCCTTGGCAACTTATCGAGCCCCTGTCTCAAAACAAAAACCTTTAAAAAGAGCTGGGGATATAATTCAGTGCAAAGGCCCCCTATGCTGCAAATCAACCAATCAGAATCAGATTGGGGACTGTTCTGGTCAAAAGCAACTAATGAGCTGGGTGTGGCAGCACACACCAGTAATCCCAGCACTTAGAGAAGTCTTTGAGGCCAGCCAGGGCTACTTACTGCATTCAAGACCAGCCTGAACTGCATAGAGACCCCGTCTCAAATTAAATAAATAGAACCCAGGCATGGAGGCACCCACCTATGGCACCAGGACTTGGGAGGCTGAGGCAGGCAGACTGCCACAAGCTTGACACCATATACACATACATACATATACAGTAAAACCTTATAAGACTAAAGGGGAGTCACTGTTGGAGTACTCCTGGATACAATCCCCAGAACGGAGGAGGAAAGTAAAACCTGGGTCCAGACCATGACCGCCCAAGTCCTTCCTGACCTGACCCCAACCCCCTTCTTTTCACACTGGCCCTGCGGCACCTGTCATCCTCACTTGCTGGGCAGCAGGACCGCCAACACAGCCCCAACTTGGGGAGCCCCTGCTCCGCTCAGCCCCACCCTCCCCTGCGCCTGCAGCAAGGCCTGGGGCAGGAGACAGAGGGCACAGCCACAGGCGCTGGACAGCACTGGCAAAGGGAACAAACTCGAATCCAGGCCTTAAGGCTGTTTCACAAGTCCTCCCATTCCTGGAAAGACATAATCTCGCACCAGCCCCAAGGATTCTCCTTGGCAGAAAAACAGGAAGGATTCATCTCCCAGGCACCCAGAAAAAGAACAGGGACCCAAAGATCAGTCCAAACAGTGCCAGACCTTGCGAGGCATGACAGAATGGCTGACTGGCTGAAGTGAGGCAACACAGGACTCGGAAGGGCTGGTGAGCAGTAGGGAGTTCACTAGGTTCAGAGTTAAGTGAGTCAGCCAAGATCTGCCCAAGAGTAATTTATTCCAAGCCAGCACTCAGGAGGCTGAGGCAGGAGGATGGTTTCAAGTTTGAGGTCAGCCTGGGCTCCAAAGTAGGCCTCAAGGCCAGCCTGACCTACATAGTGAGACCCTGTCTAAAAAGACAGGAAAAAAACAAAGGAATAACTTACTTCAGAGATAGAGCCAGGAAAGGAAAAAAGAATTAACCAGGGCACCAAGCAAGGGATACAAGGGCTGGGCCTAGGCCTGGGTGATCCACACGGAAGACCCAGTCATCTCCTTTAGGCTCTAAACATGCATGACTAAGAGTGTCTGCTTATTTTTGCAGTACTGGGGACTGAGCCCACAGCCTTTGCACTAAACTACATCCAACACTGCTTATTGGTGGGGTGCGCCTGAGACAGTCTTGCTGTAATTCAGGCTGGCCTCGAACTCACTATGTAGCCCAGGATGGCCTGGAACTCAAGCAGTCCTCAGGCTTCAGCCTCCCAGGTTGCTGGGATTACAGGCAAGAGTGCTTCAATGCGCCAGGCTCGTCAGAGTACCCTTCAAAAGGCCTGAAAAAGGTCTTTCGTGCTGCTGGGGAAAAAGATTTGAGGCACAAAATCTTCAGGGACAAAAAGCTTGTCTAGGCCGGGCGTGGGGGTGCACATCTGTGGGCCACCACTTGGGAGGCTGAGGTAGCAGGATCACTGCGAGTTTGAGACCAGCCTGGCTGCAGAGTGAGCTCAAGTCCAGCCTGAACTGCGTGGAGAGACCTTGTATTAAAAAGACTAAAAAACCCTCAAAAACCCCAAAATGCTCGTACAGCATGTAGGAGGCCCAAGGTCCCATTACTAGCGCAGAAAAAGTAATCAAGAAAAGAAAACAATCCCCTAGGTGGCTGCCCAAGATCTAAAGCTCAAAACAAACCGAAACACAGGGCGAGGGGCAGAGACGGCCCCGGGAGCGTAGGGGCTCGAGGCTGTCACCGGGTGGTGTGACAGCGCCGCCCCGACTTCCAGCGTACCGCGGTCGCCTTCCGCGCCGGGTTCTGGTCCCCGACGCGGACTCCTGTTTTCGGTCCCAAGTCGCCGAAACCGGAATCCCCTAATCACGGGACCCGACCAGGGGTGCTGAGGGAAGGCGCAGCCGGCCCCGCCTGCGAGCTCCGGCTCCCCCCCCCGCCCCCAACCCAGACGCCACCCCAGGTCCGTCCTCGGGCCGCACAAGGCGGCCTTTGGCTCCGTTCGGGCCGGGAGCGGACCGCGAGGTGCCACGACACCGCCGCTCCCGGAAGCGCCCCGCGCCCGGTCCTCCCACCCGCCCGTCCGCCATCGCGCATGCGCCGCGGGGCCCAACGGCCGCCACAGCGCGAGCCGGGTGCCCCCGCCCCCGCCTCGCGACTCCCGCTCCCTCTCTTCCAACGCTGTCTCCCTCCACTGCTCAACCACCGCTCCGACCTCCCCACACCGTGGTCCCGCGCCCGACCTCCGCTGCTTACTTGGTTTCTCGTTCACCCCCGCGTGCTACGAGAAGTACCGTCCAACGCCGGTTATCCGTCGCGCGCCAGCACTCTTAGAAGCCGCGTTTCCTGTCTCCTACGTCCGCGCTGTAGTTCTTGCTCACTGGGCCGCTACGTTGTCATTCAATAGAAGCGGAAGTGGTGATTGGACTCAAGGGAAGGTGTCAAGAGACTATAGGTGGAAAAAGGAAAATAGGGAGTGTCTAATGTCTGAGTTTCATTGGTCAATCTAAAAGTAGGCGTGCCCGAAAGAACTTGAGCCGGGTGCTGAGCCACGATGTATCACGTGACTTATGTGAGGTCACCCGCGCCGCCATATTTTTTATTGGCAATTAAGGACCAATTATTTGGCCCACAGCACATTTGGTTTTTTTTTTTTTTAGGGGGGGGTGCTGGGTAATAAACCCAGAGCCTTTGCTCTGAATTACATCCCCAGCTTGTTTATTTCTAATTTTATTTTAAAATAAGACTCTCACTAAATTGCATGGGGTGGGCTGGAATTTGCGAACTTCCTGCCTCAGCCTCCCAGAACTCAGTGCTCTCGGCTTGCCCACCTTTTGAAGCGTGGCTTTTGGCAGTTGTCGTGGCTCTTACAGACTCCAGGTCCCCCACAGTGAAGGGTCTTTAAAAGGATGAGGAGATAATGGCAGTTTGAAGTGACTGCTATACATTAGTTCTTCAAAGTTTTTTGTTGCATTTTCCCATATTGCTGGGCATATCAATCATTTGTTCTTCTCACAGTGGAATACCACTGTGCCGTACTAAGACATGGCCAGTAAAGTTTCTCCAGTCACCGATTGATCAATTGGTTGTTTAGCATTTTTTTTTTAAAGTGGATCTAAATCGGGCATGGTGTCACACACCCCTAATCCCAGCGCTCCAAAGGCTGAGGCAGGAGGATCCATCATGAGTTGAAGGCCAGCCTACGCTACATAGTGAGTTCAAGACCAGCCTAAAATACAAAGCTAAACCCTTTCGAAGAAGAAGAAGAAAGAAGAAGAAGAAAGAGAAGGCGGAGGAGGAGGGGGAGAGGAGGGGGAGGAGGAGGAGGAGAAAAAGACACACACAAAAAAACAGGGTTTCGAGAAGTCACTCAATTACCCAAACTGGGCTTGAATTTATGACACTCCTGTCTCACCCTCCAGAGTGCTGTGATGCCAGGGGTGCCACCATGCCCAGGATATGTTTGCCCAGTCTGTTTTTATTTTTGCAGTGCTGGAGAGGGAAGCCAGGGCTCTATGCATACCAGGGAGGCCCTGCACCACCCAGCTACACTTTGAGCTTTTTTTCTGCTTTCAAGGCTGGGGATTCCTGCAGGCTGGCACCACTGTGCCCAGCCAGGCCCTTGTAAATAAAGCTTGCACAGAAATATTTTGGTGGACAGCAGTAATCGTTTCTCAGAGTAAACACCTAAGACGCAACCGGGACATGCGAGCCATCAATCAGGTGTCCTGCTTTAGTGACTTGAGATAGGGGCCAGCAGCCTCTGAAAGTTCCATATTCCTTATCCTGGGACCTGGTCTTGGCAGTCTTTTCTTAGTTGTGCACTGATTTGGGGATCTGGAGAGGACAGAGGTCAAATGTCAAGCAGGAGGACATTTGCTCGGCATTCCTGTCCCCCTCAGCCACAAATACCTTCCTTTAGTGTTTTGGTTCCAGTACTGGGAATCAAACTCAGAGATCCTCTGAGACCAGTGGGCCTCAGCCCCAGCCTCCCCCCCCCCCTTTTTTGAGACAGTCTTGCTGTGTAGTCCAGGCTGGCCTTGAATTCACTATGTAGGCAATCATCCTGCCTCAGCCTCTTGAGAGCTAAGATTACAAGCACCAACCAACACAATTGACTCCAAACCCTCTTTTTAAAATTATTCTTTAAAAAGAAACAAATAAAATTATTCTTTAAAATTTAAAACAGGACCAGGGTGTGGTGGCACACGCCTGTAATCCCAGCACTGGAGAGGCTGAGGCAGGAGGATCATTGTGAGTTTGAGACCACCTTTATTTACAAGGAGCTCAAGGCCAACCCGAACTACATAGCGAGACCCTATCCCAAAAAGATGAAACATTTTTTTTGTTTTAAAAGAGTGTTGTTAAGCTGCCCATGCTGTGGCCTCTAATTTGAGATCTTCCTGCCTCAGCCTCCCAGAGTGCTGGGATCCCGGGTGTGTACCGTGGCAGCCAGCTCCTCCAGTTTCCTAAAGTGGCTGTAGTGTATCCATTGTTTTTAGTACAAGTGGCCTTCGGTCCAGGGACCAGACAACAAACTCGGAGCTGAAGTTACCAGACATCTAACTTCAGCCAGACAACCGAAGGAAATCAGGTTATCAGGCCACAGAAGGAGGCCTGTGTCCTGTTCAGTAGATTCTGTTTGTGACATGGATGGCCGAACACTTCGCACCTCCTGGGTGCCCAGTGGGGCTAGGGAAAGGTGCAGGAAGCAGGCTGGGGATACAGTGCCCTGGTACGAGCCGCGCCCAGTCTGCCCAGGCTGTGTCCTCAGCACTGGATAAACACACCCAGTGGGGAGAAGTGGGGCAAAATAGGTCCTGGGCACATCGGAAAAAATGAGTTGCCAAAAATTAAATCTAGAGAAACAGTAACTGGGTACGGAAGTGCATGCTATAATTCCAGCACTCAGGAGGCTGAGGCAGAAGGATTGCCTTGAGTTCAAGACTAGCTTGAATTACAGAGCAAGATTCTCCAAGGGAAGAACAAAGAAAAACTGTACGTATGTATATATAGTATCAGGGGTCAAACTCACAATGTTACACTTGCCAGGCAGGTGCTTGTGCCACCGAGCTAAGTCCCTGGCCCGAAAAACAGTATTTCAGCTGGGCATGGCAACACATGCCTGTTATCCCAATACTCTGGGAGGCTGAGGCAGGAGGATCATAAGTCCCAGCCCAGCCTGGACAGCTTGAGGAGTGAGACCCCATCTCAAGGTAAAAAATAAAAGGGGGTGGGGCTGGGGATTTATCTCAGCGGCATAAGCGCCTGCCTTGCAAGCAGGCAGTCATGAGTTTGATCCCTGGTACTGATAAAAAAAAGAAAAAGACAAAAAAAAAAAAAAATAAAAGGGGCTGGGGATGCGGCTCCAGAGGAAGCCTCTGGGTTCAATCCCAGTTAGCAAAATTTTTTCAAAGACAAAAATAAATAAAATAGTATTTTAATGCAATATTTTTTTTCAGTGCCAGGGACGGAATCTGCGTGTGCTAGGTCACTGCTCATGTCTGAGCTGCACCTCAACCCCCCCCCCCTTCCTTATGCCACATTCCGAAGGAGAGATAGGCCAAGCCAGGCTTCTGGGCAGGCTGGAGCTATCAGGCCTTAGGGAGAGAGGAGAGCCCTGGTGGGGCGGGAGGGGAATGACCCTGGATCATAGGTCATCCCGTTGAGGGTTCAGGGGGCCAGGAGCGCACCGAGGACACCTCACAATCCATGCAGCCAGAGAGGGGCTTCCCTTTTCTGAGCACTGGATCCCAAATGTAAGAAAAAAACATTTTTTAAAATCTTCTATTATAGAAAAGATCAGATACACCCACCAGCCCAGATTAGCAGATGTGAACATCTGTCCTATTGGCTCGATTCGAGTCAAAGTGTTACAAGAGAGAAAAGACTTCAAACACACCCACTCAAGGAGCTGAGAACACGATGGTGACTTCGGCTGGAGAGGCAACCAGTGCTGCCTCGGGCAGTGGCAGAGGGTTACCCTTGAGGAAAAGGAGATCTCCAAACTCCTTGACCAAAAGGTCAGGAAGTGGCTGTGCTCTCTTCTCTTCTCTCTTTCCTGCTGGGGTTGGAACCTATGATCTTCACACTGAGCTCAATCCTCAGCCCTGTGTCAGACAGGCTGGTCTCAAACTTGTGATCCTCCTGCCTCAGCCTCCCAGAGTACAGGGTGAACCAGCCTGGGCCTCCCTGCCTGGTTTCATTCATAGATTTTGTCCAGGGGTGGGTCCTGGAACCAATGTCCTTCAATTGAGGAATGATATCACTGTGAGAAATGAAGAGGAGCGGGGGGGGGGGGGGGGGGGGATGCATGCCTGGAATCCCAGCACTCGGGAGGCTGAGGCAGGAGGATCGTTGTGAGTTTGACACCAGCCTGGGCTACAAAGTGAGCTAACGGCCAGCCTGAACTGCTGAGCAAGACCCTGTCTCAAAAAGACAAAGAAAAATCAATAATCATTGGTGCCAACAGTGAGGTAACACGATGGAAAGGTGCTCCTGACCAGGCTGCAGCTAGTGCAAAGGCCCTGAGGTTACAGGTGAGATGAGGGCAGTTAAAAAAGAGCAAAGCCCAGTGCTGTCCCGTTGGGGTAAGGAAAAGGGAGAGGACAGCAGGCTGGGAGGCTGAGGACACCTGAGAAGTGTTCATAAGACTGCTGAGAAGACAGAAGCGGGCTCTGCAGCAGACAAAACTGGGAGAGGCCTCAGCTTAAATTAGAGAGGCTCAGGCAGCTACAGGGTGTTCCCAAGCAGTTATCTTCTCTTCGGGGATTTTACAATCAGCCCTTTGTATCCCAGCGAGAGCCCAGAGTACAACTTTTATTTCCAGTGCTATCAGAGTCCCCAGTGGCCCTGGATAAAGGCTCGCAGCGTAAATGGGCACGGGAGTCTGGAGCCAGGCCCTGGCACAGTTCCCCTGCTGCTCCTGGGGAGGCAAGGACAGGATTCTGGCAGGCCTGGGCTCTCAGGCGACCTCTGTGCACTGTGGTTTTTCATCTGGAAATTGGGTGGGCTACATCGGTCTTGGTGAAGCATTCCTGTCATCTCCGCACTCGGGAGGCTGAGGCAGGAGGATCTCTGTAAGTTCAAGGCCAGCTTGGACTCCACAATGAGACCCTGTCTCAATGAACAAAAAGAGTAGGGTGGATGGTTAGAGGGAGATGATCCTGTTGGCCAGGGGAAGGGTCCCAGACATCCTGCCTTGATGATCAGGGTGAGGGGCTTTTCAGATTTTGTTTGTCTGTCTGTTTAGTTTTGGTTTTTGAGACAGGATCTTGCTACATAGACAAGCTAGCCCTGGTCTTGCAGTGAGCCTCCTGCTTCAGCCTCCTGAGTAGTGGGATGACTGGCACTCACCCCAGCCCCAGCGAGGAACTGGGCTTTTTTCTGAGTGAGGCGGGAACGCTAAGGGTTCTAGGTAGGGAGAAGGGTGCTGCATGACTTAGTGTCGTCCCAGTCCGTCGTCCCCCCTGTGCCCCCCCCCCTCCCCCCGTCGTGGGGAAAACAGGCCGCAGCCAGGCAGAAAGCGCCTGTGCTGTTCCGGTAAGTGCGGTGTGCCGGCCTGGGGGCTGCTGAGAGGTGAAGGCCCAGTGGATCAGGTCGCAAGCTTTGTCCTGCCCCGCTTCTTTTCACTGTTAAACCCCTCCAAGGAGACACAAAAGAGAAAAGATGCTAGCTTGGTCCCTAGGCCCCCAGAAACCACCGGAGACAGCGGCTGCCGGGGAGGCCCCAGGGGCCCTGGCTTGGTTCTGGGGGTTCTGAAGGAGTGAGGGGCCCTGCACCACCCACAAACCAAGCTGCGTGCTCCAGGGACTCCGGACTCTCTAGAAATTCTGCAGAATCCTGCACTTTGCTTAGCATCTTAATCTGCATGGATAGAGCGCCAACCATATGCAGCAGCCAGGAAAAAAAAAGGGGGGGGGCTGGGCCCCATATCACTGGGGGAGCACACAGAAACCTCGGGAGCCACAGGGATCCAAGAATAGATTGGAGGCCGCTCTTGTTTTGGAGACAGAGACTCATTATGTACTCCAGGCTGGCCTCCAACTCACCAGGTGGCCAGGGTGGCCTCAAGGCCACCCTGCCTCAGCCTCCCGAGCGCTGGGGTTACAGGCACGCACGCAAGCCCACCTCAGGCCCATTTCTGTCCTAGTAATAACAATCACACTCACTTGATGGCCGCTAGCATTTATGAAGACTGTGTTTTCAGCACTCGACATGCCCAGTCTCATTTTACCAGCACCGGAGAGGCGGGTAATCCCTTCCCACTGATGCGGACCGGGCCTCTGATAGTGTGTGGCCAGGCACGGGGAAGACTTTAAAATCCCAGCACTTGGGAGGCTGAGACAGGAAGATTGCTGCGAGTTCAAGACCAGCTTAGGGTACAAAGTGAGCTCAAGGCCAGCCTGAAATGCACAGAGAGACCCTGTCTCAAAAAGACCAAATTAAAGAAAAAGAAAAAACCAACAAAATTCCAAAGCGCGTCAACCGGGGGCACCCATTGTACGTACATTGCGCCTTGCAGGGGATGAATTCTTGCTTTTCTTTGTTGTCATTTTCGCTTTGTTTTGATTTCTGAGCCAGGGTCTCACCATGCATCCTCCTGCCTCAGCCTCTCCAGCGCTGCGACGCGGGGTGCACGCCACCACGCCCGGCTGCGCCGGCTTTCCGAGGGGCCCCGCAGCCCACGGGCCCCTGCACCCCGACGCCCGCCAGCTCGGCCTCCCCGGGTAACCGCAGGGCAGGACCGTGCAGCCCCGGGGGCCGCCGGGAGCCCCACCCCGCCCCGGCCCCGCCCCCTCCCCGAGCGCCGACCTCGCGCTCACGTGATCGCCGGCGGCCGCGGGTCGGGAGGGCGCGGCGCGGACGCGGCCAGGCCGGGCGGGACGGGGCGGAGCGAGCCGAGGCCGGAGCCGCCGCGGGCAGCGTCGCGTCGCGGGGGGACCCGGGTGCGGGGGTCGCGGCTGCCCCGCCCCGCCCGTCCCCGTCCCCGTCCGCGCACGCGCGATCGCCCCTTCCCCGCGCGCGGCCATGGCCAGCGACGCCGTGCAGGTAGGCGCGCACCTGCGTCCCCAGCCACGGCACGGCGACGCTTTGGGGCCCGGGCGGGGGAGGGGCGGGGAGGGCGCGCGGCCCTGAGCGGGGGCGCGCGGGAGCCCGGGGGGCGCGGCCGCTGTGCGCCCCGGGACCGCGCGCCCCCTCCCGCGGGCCCTCGGGGCAGGCACCTGTTGGCGGAAGCGCCCGAGTCACCGACTCCTCCTCTCGGGCTTCGCTCCGGAGCTGGGGACCCCGCACGCGTCCTCGCCGCTGCCCAGCTGCCCGGTGGCACCTGCCTGCAGGTGCGGGTGCCCGGCCTCGGGGTCCCGCCCGGGGCGGCCCGGGTCTCCTCCGCGTCTCTACCTGTGGCTCGCGCCCGGGCCACTCGGGGTTGGGGTGGGGGCGTCGTCTTCTCCCTCGGCGCCTCCCAGGCCGGTTGAAGCGCCCACCCCGCTGGGTTCCCCATCCAGACCCCAAATGTGCGTGAGGGGCTGGTGCCCCTCGGCCGGCGCCTCTCCGTCCAGCCTGTGGTCCCGTGGTTGCTGTGTAACCGTGTTCTCGTCTCCTTCCACACCCGCCCCGTCCCCTCTTGTGTCCCTGTCACCGTCCCTGTCCCAGTCCCGCTGATGGCCTGCCAGCCTTGCGGAGGAGCTGGGCGTATCTGGTGTTGCCGATCACACAAGGTCAGAGAGCGTGGAGCCGGGATGGACTCAGAGTCCCTGCCTGCACCCCCAGCTGGGGACAAGCTGTGTGGGACACTCCCCCCCCACCCTGCCGCGCCTGCATGTGCTTGGCGTGACACACGCCCGCCCCCATGGAGGCTGCGACCCCCTGGATGAGGCCGGATCCGTGCCCCACCCCCTTCCCATCTCCTGCCCGCTCTCTCCCCAGTTCCCCGTGGTTGCTCGGGCCTGCCTCCCTGTCCCTCTCTCCCAGTGTGTCTGTGTCCTGCCAACGGATGTCCTGTCCCTACCCCGGAAAAGCCCAAAGCAGTGATAGCTCCGGACCAGGGCGCCTAGGTCACCGGCCACCGGTCCAAGAGGGTCTCCTGTAGGTGGACACCCGGGCCTGGTGCCCCCTGGCCCACCTCCCCTGCTGGGAGATGGAGGTGGCAGGGGTTCTCTGTACCAGGCCTGAGTCCTGAGTTTGCCCTGTTGGCCCTCGGGTGACCCCTTGGCCCTGAAGTGAGTCAGTCACCCGAGGGAGGAGGACCCGGGAGGCCCAGCCTCCCTCCCTGCTTTCCATGTTCCGAGCCTGCTCTGCTTTGGAGCTGGGGTTGAGGGAGGTCACCCCTCCTCCTGGGCCTTCCCTCTTCGAGCTGGCCTCGCCCCTGGCTGAGTCCCTGCTCTGGCTGTTGGGGACAGGGTGGGGTTGGCAGTGGAGTGGCAGGCGGGACCTGCATGGGCCAGAGTGGGATGCAGTGAGCCTGGGTTTCAGCTCCAGTGAGGCCATGTCCCTGCCGAGGGCCCCTGCCAGACACCGAAGCTCTCTGAGACGGGAGGGGAAGCTGCTGTGACATCTTTCAGGGTCCCCAGCCCCCAGCAGCCTTCAGATGACCCACACGTGGGGCCAGACTTCTCCCTGTGGCCAGGGCCACAGCAGGCTCTGTAGGGAGCTCTAACACCACCCCTGGGCCCCATGTCACAGGCACCAGCTCTGCACCCCCAGACCCAGCCACTTGCCCTCGGGATGGGGCAAAAATCCCCAGCCTCGGAGAAGGACTGCTGTCACTTTTCTGAGGCTTCATGTGTAAAATAGGAAGAGGAGAGGGTGGTGGAGTCACAGAAAGCCCACTTGGGGGTGCCCTGAGGGGACATGGCCCTGGGGCCCACTCTGGGAACAGCCAGGTAGGAACAGAAGTGTTTTCGCAAGCTGTGCTGGGATTCTCAGCATGCCCTTTGGAGATGGAACCCAAGGGCATCACACTGGGAGCTACCTCCCTGACTTTAAAAAATAATTTTAGAAACAGGGTCTCCCTCTGCACTGCTCAGGGTAGGCTTGAATTTGTGTTTGTCCTGCCTCAGCCTCCTACAATGGCACCTCCTGGGATTAGTCTAGTGCCCTACCATGCGTGGCTCGAGGGCCCTTGTCTTACTTTTTTACTTTTTTGGAGACAGGGTCTCACTCTGCAGTTCAGGCTAGGCTTGAGCTCACTTCGTAGCCCATGCTGCCCTGGAACTCAACAGTGATGACCTTCCTGCCTCAGCCTCCCAAGTGCTGGGATGACAGAGGAGCACCACCACTCTCTGCAGAGCACACTTGTTTTAAGCAGTGGCCCCACCTGCCATGGGCTGTGGGACCCTTGGGGTGAGCTGTGTCACTGCTGTGGGCCTCAGTTTCCTTTTTCTCCCCTCCCTTTTCTTGTGGTGCTGGCGTCTGACTTGGGGCCTTGTGTGTGGCTAGGAAGTGCCTGACCCCGTCTCTGCGGTGGACATGGGTTGACAATCACACCCGTGCGCTGGGGGAGTTTTTCAGCACCTGCTGCTTTTCCTTCCACCGCGCTGGGCTGGACCCCAGGCCCGGTGCAGGCTGGGCGCGTGCGCAGCCCCACTGGGTGCGCCGCACCCCCCCCCCACACGCTATTCACAGTGCCCATGTGTTTGCAGGCGGCTTGCGGGCAGCTTGGGGGCCATCCTGGTCCCCAGCCACAGTACTGTCGCCTGACAGTGTTTGCTCCAGAGGCTGCCACTGGGCTGGCCCAGCCCCGGGCCTGCGGTTGCACAGTGGCCGTCTGGACAGGAGGAAGCAGGAAGTCGCAGGGCCGCTGGCAGGAAGGGGGCCCGGCCTCTGCAGCACTGGCTGTTCTGACCTGGAGGGGAAGTGGGGCTAGGGGCAGGGGGAGGGCGCTGGAGACCCGCACAGGAGCAGCGGGGCGGGGGGCTCGCGGAACGTGGGCTCCCGGTGGGTGGAGGGCGTGAGCATGCACACGTGCGTGGGCAGGCGGCCGAGTCCGCCCGAGCAGGTGGGTGCGCATGGCACAGGCTCCCGAGTGACCCACAGGCGTGATCTCATGCGAGCGTGTGCTCTGGGGACTCACAAGTGTGAGTGTGCCCCGTGTGAGCCCATAACACGAAGGCCCCCCGCAGCCCACGCACCCCCGTGTGGAGCTCGCTTGCTGTTCATGCCACGGGCCTGTACTCCTTGCCATAGTGTCAGGAAGGGGACCCCGGCGATGGCCCTGGGTTGCCCCGGAGAGGGAAGGGGGCAACCTGGACGGGACGAGAGGGCAGGTCCCCTTGCTGCCCCTGGGCTGGCCACCAAGCGCGCGGGGAGTGCTGGGAGCTGGCAGGAAAGAGGAAGTGGCGGTGCGGACGCCCTGGCAAGGCTGAGGTCCAGGAAGAGGGCGGGGCCTTCTACGGGGACCCAGGATGGCAGTGGCTGAGCCCCCTTCGGAGCAGGAGCTGGAGGTGGGGACTGGGTCACTCTGGGGTGGACCAAAGGGGACCCCCATGGCCCAGAGAGACCCTGGCCTGTGTCCTCCTGGGTTTAACGCTAAGGGGAGGAGATGAGGCACTGGCGCTGGAGTTGCCTGGGTGGCGGGTGAAAATATCCGGGTCCTTAGGGCTTCCAGGCTGGGGAAAAAGAGGAAGGAAACGGCTTGTTTTCTGGGGTCCCAAGTCTTTTAAAACGTAACAGGGAAGCCGGGCATGGTGGCGCATGCCTATCATCCCAACACTCAGGAGGCTGACGCAGGAGGGTCACTTTGAGTTCCAGGCCAGCCTGGGCTGCAAAATGGATCTAAGGCCAGGCTGACCTGCATAGCAAAACCCTGTCTCAAAAAAAACAAAAAATAACACAAGGTAACAGGAAATATGGGGTCTGATGTTGGGACCTCCTACTTTGGGGGTGCACCGGCGAAGGAAGTACCTGACTCTCTGAGCCTTCTACTTTGGGGATACAGCAGAGCAGATGAAACCTGTCCCTGCCACCTGCTAGTTGAGGGTTACACCAAAAAGAAGGAAGGGGCCTTTCCCTTAAGCCCTCAGAGATCTGCTGAGTGTGGTGCCCCACGCCTGTTATCCCAGCCCTCAGGGGACTGAGGTGGGAGGATTGCCATGAGTTTGAGATCAGCCTGTCTCCTGCTCTCCTCCCTTCAAAAACGACTGGGGATTTAGCTCAGTGCAAAGGCCATGGAATCAATCGTCAGTGCCAGAAAAACAATACCTACTTTGGTGGTATGGCAGAGGGGCCCACTAGTTTAGTGGGCAGCAGGAATTGTCCCCTAGGTCCTCCAGTGCAGGGGGCAGAGGGAGCAATGGGTTCTGACCCCCAGAGTCCCACTGCAGATGGGAGGGGGACAGGGCTGGATCTGTGGGGTCCCCGACTCTTAGTCGTAGTCTGCCTTTTTTTGGTCTTTTTGAGATGGGGTCTCACCAATGCAGTTCAGATGGGCCTTGAGCTCACTTTGTAGCCCAGGCTGGTCTTGAACTTGCAGCAATCCTTCTGCCACAGCCTCCCGAGGGCTGGGATGACAGGGATGAGCCAGGAGTCTGCCTTTTGATGTCTCAGTCTGGGAGTCAGGGAGCAGGCCCGTTTCGCCTCTCCGTTTTTTTGGAGGGACTGAAAGGGGATAACCTGGTCCTGGTAAAGGGTGAGCCCCGGCCAGCTCTGTTGCCCTGGTAGGGTCCAGTGATCCTGACTGGCCTGTCGACCATGTCCTGTCCCACAGAGCGAGCCCTGGTCCCTGCTGGAGCACCTGGGCCTGGCGGGTGCGGACCTAGCTGCGCCCGGGGTGCAGCAGCAGCTGGAACTGGAGCGTGAGCGGCTGCGGCGCGAGATCCGAAAGGAGCTGAAGCTGAAGGAGGGCGCGGAGAACCTGAGGCGCGCGGCCACCGACCTGGGCCGTGCCCGGGGCCCTGTGGAGCTGCTGCTGCGCGGTTCCGCCCGCCGCCTGGACCTGCTACACCGCCAGCTGCAGGAGCTGCACGCGCACGTGGTGCTGCCTGAGCCCACAGCCGACCGGGGTGAGTGCGGGGGGGCACCCCGGGGACATACAGCCACTAACCGGTGACCGCAGGAGCGTGTGACACGGGAACAATGTCCAGCACACCGCACCCCTGGGCTTGTGCCTGCTCACCCCAGACCCGCCTTCTCCGACACCCGGATGACATCACCTGCGGAATGCGCGGTCACACGGATGTCCAGACAGACCCACCAGGTCACGCGCGCTCCCGTAGCCTGTTCCTACGCGGCATCCAGCCGTACACATGCACGCGCACGCACTTATGCACTCCCGCCGTAGCCTGTTCCCACGTGGCGCCCAACCACACACTCGCGCCTGCCTTAGCCCTGTTCCTACGTGATGTCCAGTCACGCATGCGGACGCACTCATGAACTCATGCTGTAGCCTGTTCTTTTTTTTTTTTTTAATTTTTTTTTTTTTGTCTTTTTCCTTTTTATCGGTATCAGGGGTCGAACTCACACTGCCTGCCTGCAAGGCAGGTGCTCATGCTGCTGAGCCAAATCCCCAGCCCTGTAGCCTGTTCTTACGCGGCGTCCAGCCACGCACTCTCGCATGTGCACTCATCTACACGTATACGCATAGGCACATGCAACCTGACAAAGGCCGGAAGTGCAGACACCACCACGCTGGCACCTGGGGACGGACACCCGGTCCTGTTTCTGTCCCAGACCCCCGAGTACTGCCACGCTCAACACCCCAGGATTCACAAAGACGCTTTACCCCAAAAATTTGTTTTTATAGTACTGGGGATTGAACCAGGACCCTTGCACTAGACTATGTACTCTGCCCTTTCTAAAACGTTTTGTGCTGGCTGGGTATGATGGTGCTCACCTTTAAACCCAGCACTCGGAGGCTGAGGCAGGGAGATCACTTAGAGTTCGAGGCTGGCATGGGGTATATAGTGAATTCAGGGCCAGCTTGAACAAGACAGCCACACAGGGTGGCACTGAGTCCCTACGTTACCCAGGGTGGGTTGATTCTTATTGTGTTGCTGGGTTTTGTTTGTTTTTGGTACTAAGGATCGAACTCACGACCTTGGGCTGGCCAAGCATGTGTTTGTGCCCCTGAGCTAAGTCCCCAGCCCGGTTGCAGTGTTTTTAGACAAGGTCTCACTCTATCATCCGGGCCGGCCTTAAACTCACCATTGGCCCACAGTGAGCCCGAACTCATGATCCTGCTCCTGAGCTTTGGAATTGCAGGTGTGAACCACCGTGCTTCAGTATTTTTAAAACATTTAAAATTGTTTATTAGTACATGTCTTCAGACATAATCATTACATTTATCGTGGGAGTTCCTACATGAACAGAACACATCTTAGTTCTTTTATGCCCCTTTGGGATTTTTTTGTTTTTGTTTTTGTTTTGGAACCAGGACCTTGTGCTATATCTCCCCCTTCAGTTATTTTTTGACTTTTTTTAATTGTGAAGCAAAAAAAAAAAAAAAACCCTGCAACATCTCCTTTTTTTTTTTCGTCTTTTTGAGCAAGTTTCACTATGCAGTTTCAGGCTGGACTTGAATTCACTTTGTAGCCCAACTCGTGCCCAACTTTGTAGCTCAAACTCGTAGCAATCCTCCTGCCTTAGCCTCCCAAGTGCTGGGATTACAGGTGTGTGCCACTGCGTCCAGCCTAAAGTCTACTATTTTAAGTGTGGAGTTCAATTAAATGTTTTTCTAATGTTTTGATTTTTGAGACAGGGTCTCACTATCTAGTTCAGGCTGGTCCTAAACTGACGGTGTTGCCCAGATCGGGCTCCTGGGAATCTCCCTGTCTCAGCCTCCCAAGTGCTGGCTTTGCAGGCTTGAGTCACCACGCCCAGCTTAGAACATTTTCATCTTGTAAGCAAAGACTCTGGCACTCATACCTACGCCTCGGTGACACCCAGAGGCTCAGCTACTGTCACGTGACTGCCAGGAGAACAAGCCCATCACAAGGGTGTACACAAAGCACCCAGGGCCCACGGCGAACTCCTGCCCCCAGGGTCCATCCTCACCTGCTGCACCCACGACCCCTCCAAGGAGGGCCACGTCTTGACCCAGTGGCAGATGGATCCCCAAAGCGGGGACCAAGCTACCCCAACACACCAGGATGATAGCGGTGGTGACCCCTGCACCTCTCGTCCCCTCCAGATGCACCCCAGTCCTCAGGGGCTGGCAGCTCTGCCTGCTCGGCCACCAACCTGAGCCGCGTGGCCGGCCTGGAGAAGCAGCTGGCCATTGAGCTGAAGGTGAAGCAGGGCGCAGAGAATATGATTCAGACCTACAGCAATGGCAGCACCAAGGTGGGTCTGCGGGCGCATGCACACACACTCCTGTGCACACCCCGTCTTAGCTGCTCCTCTGTACTTCTTGTCTGTTTTCTGTTGCCGTAACTGAAGACCACAGCCTGGGTAACTTAAAGAAGTCAGCAGGAGGGGCGCGGCTGGGGTGAGGGCGTGGCTAGCACTGCTGCTCTCTGGGTTCCATCTCAAGCACCACAGATAAAACAAAAAACTACCTAGCTCCCAGTTTTTTTTGTCTTTTCGAGACAGAGTTTCACTGTGCTTTTCAGGCAGCCCTGGAACTCACTTTGTGGCTGAGGCTGGCTTTGAACTCGCAGTGATCCTCCTGCCTCAGCCTTCAGAGAACTGAGATGACAGATGTGCTCTCCATGCCAGGAACACTCCTACCTCCAGGGCACTGTGGTGGTGACGTGGGCTGGGCCTCGGTGACTTCCTGATGGCAGAAATGTCAGGAGAGCCTGGCTGGAGCTGCAGGGGAGCTCCATGAGAGAGAGCCGAAGGTGGGCTCCTGCTGGCTCCACAGCAGCCCACACTCAGGAGACCAAATCCAACACACACTCAGAAGGAAAATCGCCCTGGGGCCGGAGATGTGGCTCAGGGGTAGAGCACAGGCTTAACTTAGCACGAGTGGCTCCCGTGGCAGCAGCAGTATCGAGGGACTAACTTGGTGCCATGGAATGGAAGACGTGAATGCCCCTCTCTCTCTTCTGCAGGACTCAGCCATCCCACTGAGCTGCACCCTAGCCTGAGACTCTTTTGGTGTTCGTTTTTTCACTTTTAACTTGGTGTCACTAGAGGCTCAGGCTGGTGTCACACTCAGGCTTCTTCTGCTTCAGCCTCCTGGAGTGGGCAGCTTCCTGTCTCTCTGTCCAGAGACCTGTCCCACCCTCACTCAGGCCTGTGGGGTGCGCACAGAGGGGGCAGGGGTCGGACCTGAGCTGCCTGCCCTCCTCTCATGATCATCTCTGCCACAGGACCGGAAGCTGCTGCTGACCGCCCAGCAGATGCTGCAGGACAGCAAGACCAAGATAGACATCATCCGCATGCAGCTGCGCCGGGCCCTGCAGGCTGGACAGCTGGAGAGCCAGGTGGCGCCAGATGAGGCCCCAGGTGAGCCCCGTGCCTCCCAGTGCCCAGCTGCTGGCTTGCAAAGCATCGTTTTGTCGGTAGAGCTGACCCTACGACTGGGGGACTCAGTTTCCCGTTTTGTCCCAGCAAGGTTTTGGCTAGGTCCGACAGGAGCACACTGCCACCCGCAGGCCAGACCCGGGTTTTTTTTTTTTTGATACAGAGCCTCGAATTCCCGCGGATGGCTGCTTCAGCGCCCCCGCTGGCGGCTGGAGAAATTTCCCCTCTGGCTTTTTAATGGAAAGAAACTGTGTAGCTCATGGGGCGGATGGCCTGTCTCGACCCACGGCCGGTGGGTGATCTGCGGGTATCTCCTGGTGTGCGTGTGTGCGGGGGAGCACCGGGGTCGCTTTCCACACTTACAGACCTTTTTTCCGCAGTATTTCTTCCACACAATATGGACTAACCACTATTTATACAGCTTTCGCGCTGCATCAGTGTTAAAAGTCACCTGCGGATGAGATAGAGATAAAGTCTATCAAATGCCTTTATTGAGATGCAGGCCTGTGATCCGAGCACTCTGGGAGGCTGAGACAAGAGGATTACAAATTCCAGCCCAACACATGCAATTGAACAATTTAAGGAGATTCTGTATCAAAATAAAAATAAAAAACCCGGAGTAGTGGCGCGTGCTTGTCATCTTAGCACTCCGGAGGCTGAGGCAGGAGGATCATTGCAAGTTCAAGACCAGCCTGGGCTGCACAGTGAGCTCAAGGCCAGCCTGAACTGCAGAGAGAGACCCTGTCTCAAAAAGACAAATAAATTTTTTAAAAAAATTTTTAAAAAGAGAGGCTAGGCCAGGGATTTAGCTCAATGGCATAAGCGCCTGCCTGGCAAGCACAAGGTTGTGAGTTCAATGCCTGGTACCACAAAAGAAAAAAACTTTTTTTTAAAAAAAGGGAGGCTGGGGAAGTAGCTGAGTGTGAAGGCCCTGGGTTTAATCCCAGGTCCTTCGAGATGAGTAAACAAAAAATAAAAAAATGCTGGGAAGAAACTCATCGGGAAGGCATGGTTCGGCTTCCAGGATTACAATACATAAACACAGGCAAACAATAGGAGTTTCTTTCCTCCAGTCCTGGGGGCTGGGAGTCTGAGGTCCCAGTGGTTCCGGTAAAGCTCTGTTCCTGCCGCTGCCCAACTCTTTATTCTTGGGTCCCGACACCCGGAAGGGGCGAGGGAGGAAGACAGCATATGGAAATGCTTCATGCTGTTATTTGGTTTTTGTTTTATGTGGTGCTGGTCTGTCTGTCTGTTTTTCTTTCTTCCTTTTTTTTTGTTGAGACAGGGTCTCACAGTGTAGTCTAGGTTGGCCTTAAGTCACTGTGATCCTCCTGCCTTAGCCTCCCCAGTTCTGGGATGACAGGGACGCATCCCCCACACACACCCAGAGTGGAGTGTCTGCCGCAGGGCCGTGTGTCTGGGATCAGGCTGGGGTCACTGCCAAGCATCTTGCCCACAGGGGGTCCAGACCTGGGAGCAGTAGAGCTGCGCATCGAGGAGCTGCGACATCACTTCCGAGTAGAGCACGCGGTGGCCGAGGGCGCCAAAAACGTGCTGCGCCTGCTCAGTGCGGCCAAGGCCCCAGACCGGAAGGCGGTCAGCGAGGTGAGGGGTGGGGCTCTCGGTGAGGCGGGGCTTCTTCCAGGATGTATTTATGGTAGGGGCGGTACCTAAAGGAGGCGGGGCTTCGATAGGATTGTACCTTGGTGAGGGGCGGGCCTCGGCAAGAGGCGGGCTACTGGAGGGCGGGGCTCAGTGAAGGACTGGGTCGTGTAGGGGGCGTGGCCCAGGCCAGGAATGAGACTCAGTGAGGGCCTAGCCGCTGAATAGAGCTCAGGGAGGGCGGGGCCTCAGTGAGGCGGGTGCAGCCTCCACCAAGTATGGGCTTTACTGAAAGGGCAGAGTCTCAGTCTGTCTTGCTGTTTGGGGGAAGACTACCGAGGCCGTCATTGAGAGGTGGGGCCTCAGTGAGGGCGGGGCTTTGGGGCTGGCCCTCAGATCGGGCAGAGCATCCGTAAGGGGTGGGCCTTAATGAGGGCGGGGCTTTAGAGGAATGGGTGGGGTGGAGCCTCAGTGAGGGCGGGGCTTTAGGGACTGGACCTCAGGCAAGGGGCGGGGCCTCAGGAAGGGCTGGGCATCGGCGTAAAGTGGAGCCCTGGCCAGGGGCGAGTCTGCCTAGAGGGGAGTAGGGTGACCCGTAAGCCCCTTCACCATGCGACCTTACCGCCATAGGCCCAGGAGAAGCTGACCGAGTCCAACCAGAAGCTGGGGCTGCTGCGTGAAGCGCTGGAGCGCAGGCTGGGGGAGCTGCCTGCCGACCACCCAAAGGGGCGGCTGTTGCGAGAGGAGCTGGCCGCAGTCTCCTCGGCCGCCTTCAGTGCGCTACTGAGTGGCCCCTTCCCCGCCTCACACTACAGCACGCTGTGCAAGCCCGCGCCCCTCACAGGTGGGCCCCCCACAGGTCCCCGCTGCCCAGCTGGACCCAGTCTTGCCCTGGACCCCCAGCCCAACCCAACCCAGCCCAAATTCTGCCTTACTTCTCTTTGCCTGGACCCGGCTTTTCTTTCTTTCTTTTTTTTCGTTCTTTGAAACAGAGTTTTTGGCTGGACTTGAACTCACTGTGTAACCCAGACTGGCCTCAAACTCCTCGATCCTCCTGCCTCCTGTCTCAGCCTCCCAAGTGGGATCCCAGGCATACACAACAGTGCCCAGATCTCAGCCGCTGCCCTGAATCACTCCTGTGCCCCTAAACCCACAGACGGCACCTCCCACATCCCGTGTCCCCATTCTCCCAGCCAAGCCCTAACTAAACTCCTTGCCTTAGACCCCTCTGCCACACTTGGCTACCTTTTTATTTTATTTTAGTTTTTTTAGTGCTGGGAATTAAACCTAGGGCCTTCAACTGAGCCCTGTCCCATCCCTTTTTGGTTATTTATTTTGAGGGTTTTGCTAAGTCAATTAGTTGTCCAGGGTGGGCTGGAATTTGAGACCCTTCTGCCTCAGCCTCTCCAAGTGCTGGGATGACAGGTGTGTGCCACCAGGCCTGGTTCTGGGGTTCTGGCTGTCCGTTATCCAGTCCCCTGAGATGGTCATGGTTTCTGGGATGCACCCTAATTCCCCTCAGCCCCTTCTACCCCCTCAGCCTGAGACCTTGATGGGCCCCATTCCTCACGAGTCTGCTTTTCCTCCAGGGACCCTGGAGGTGCGTGTGGTGGGCTGCAGGGACCTTCCAGAGAACATCCCCTGGAATCCTGCACCTTCGGGGACCCCTGGGGCCCCTGACAGCCGCACCCCCTTCCTGAGCCGCCCCGGACGGGGCCTTTACAGCCGAAGTGGAAGCCTCAGTGGCCGAAGTAGCCTCAAAGCAGAAGCAGAGAACGCAGGTAAGTGGGAGCTGTGAGTCCGTGGGTGAGGGCAGGTGGGAGAGCTGGGTGCCCCACTTTTGTGACACTTTTTTTTTCCTGAGACGGGGTTTTGCTATGCAGTTCAGGCTGGCCTTGAACTCATTTTGTGGTCCAGACTTGCCTCAAACTCACAATGATTCTCCTGCCTCAGCCTCCAGCCTCAGTTTATAATCCTGCTGGGATAATAAGCGCACACTACTATGCTTGGTTTGTTTTTATCTTTCTTTCTGGCACCCAAAATCAAACTCATAACCTCACACTTGCCAGGCAGGTGCCGTGCCGCTGAGCTAAATCCCTGGTCCTGTAACACCTCTAAAAACCATTAAGATGATTGTTAGTGAAGCATCAGGGAAGGCCCGAGCATGGTGGCCCACACCAGTCATCCTTGCACTGAGGCTGAGGCAGGAGGATGGTTGTGAGTTCAAGACCACCCTGGAGGTAGGCTGGGGATATAGCTCAGCAGCACAGTGCCTGCCTGGCAAGCGCGAGGTTGTGAGTTTAATCCCAAATACCCCAAAAATAAAAATAAATAAGAAAACCACCACCCTGAACTACTTAGCTAGACCCTGACCTAGAAAATCAGAATAAATAAACAAGCCAGAAAAGTGATGGTTATCAAAACAGCAGTAGCAACAAGAAACAGGACATCACAGGTGTTGGAGAAGATGTGGAGAAATCAGAACCTTGGCTGTCGGGCATGTCTAGTGAGCGCCAAGGAAACCAGCGTGCAGTTCCTCGGAAGCGTGAAGTGTGGGACAGAGGCTCAGCGCATTTACCTGGTGGTGCAGGGCCCTGGGTTCCAGCCCCAGTCCTGCCAAGAATTAAAGAACTGAAAAAAACAACTGACCCAACGTGATTTTGCAATTTTTATTTTTTTCAGTACTTTGATTTGAACCAGGGCCGTCACACTGAGCCACATCCCCAGCCCTTTCTAGTTTTTCCTTTTATGACAGTCTGGCAGAGTTGCCCGGGCTGGGCTGGACCTTTTGATCCTCCTGCCTCAGCCTCCTGAGTGCTGGGATGACAGGCATGCGCCCCCGTAACTGGCTTAGCTCCCATAATTTGGTTTTTGGTTTTTGGTACTGGGGATCAAACTCACGACCTTGCACTTACAAGCAAGTTTAGCCCTCTGGGCTAAACCCCCAAACCCCCACGGTTTTTGTTTGACTGCCCCAACCTGCAGGTGAGGTCAGCACTGTGCTGAAGCTGGACAACACAGTGGTGGGGCAGACGTCCTGGAAGCCGTGTGGGCCCAGCGCGTGGGATCAGAGCTTCACCTTAGAGCTGGAGCGGGTAAGGGACCATGGGGAGGGTGGTGCGGGGCTCCAGGCCGGTGCCGGCAACCCCGCCCGTGTCTCCCTAGGCCCGGGAGCTGGAGCTGGCCGTGTTCTGGCGGGACCAGCGGGGCCTCTGTGCCCTCAAGTTCCTGAAGCTGGAGGATTTCCTGGACAACGAGCGCCACGAGGTGCAGCTGGACCTGGAGCCGCAGGGCTCCCTGCTGGCCGAGGTAGGGCCCGTGCCACCGCGGTTCCGAGCTTAGCTGGAAGCACGCTCACAGGGTCACGCCACAGCCAGGTGACCTCGGAGCTAGGGCTTGGAGAGAGGGACAGTGCTGAAGTTTCAACCCGGGGCACTCGGTTCTCTGCATCCTCCTGTCCTGATGCTATGCCTGGCCTTATTTAAAAAAATAAAATAAAAAAAAGCTGGGGTCGGGGCTGGGGACTTAGCTTAGTGGCAAAGCGCCTGCCTGGCAGGCGCAAGGTCCTGAGTTCGCTCCCCAGTACCAAACAATAAAATAAAATAAAAAGAGCTGGGCAGGGGGCACAAGCCTGTCATCTTAGCACTGTGGGAGGCTGAAGCAGGAGGATTGCTAGGAGGTCAAAGCCAGCCTGGGCTAGACAGCAAGCCCTTATCTCAAACAAATGAACCAATGAAAAAGGAAAAGGAAAAGAAAAATTCGGACAGGCCAGACATTCAAACAAAATATGGCAACGTGTGGCCTCCGCCCCCAGAGCGCTGTGGAGAGAGCTTCCTCCCACAGTGGGTTTCCACCCTGTGCCTTGGCAGTTGGGCTCCGGAGTTGTTGGACATCAAACCCCCTGCCTGTGTTGACAATCAGAGATGTTCCCCCAACAACTGTCCCTAGCCAGGAACCCTGGACTCAGTGCCCCCCTTTCTAGCTCAGCCACTGCGGCACGGGGTGGTTTCAGTGGGCGTCAGGCACGTGGACATCTCTGTCTCTTCCCTTTTCTTTCTTGTCCTCCCTCTCTTGGTTTTTGGTTTGGTTTGGTTTTGAGGCAGGGTCTCACTATGTAGTGCATACAGGCCTCACACTTGCATACGTATCCCAGCCCAGATTGGCCCTGAACTCACTGGGGAGCCACCTGCCTCAGCCTCCCGAGTGCTGGGATTATATGGTCACAACACTGTGCCCAGCTGCACTAGGCAGCTCTCCCTCCTGCACCAGGTAGACTCAGCCAGGATGAGCCCAGGTCTGCGTGTGCCTCTGCTCACCAGGGCTCTGCCAGAGGTCCCAAAGGAACAGAGACTTCACCTTTGTCGCCTTCTCCCAGGTCACCTTCCGCAACCCTGTCATCGAGAGGATCCCCCGGCTGCGGCGGCAGAAGAAAATTTTCTCCAAGCAGCAAGGTGTTGGGGGGGGCACGGGGGCGCAGTGGACTGGCAGAGACGGGCAGGGGGCGTTGCGGAGGCGTGGCCTGACGTGTGGTGGGGAGCGGCCAGACTGGCATGGTGGGCAGGGAGCATTGGGGTGGAAGGGGAGCCTGACTGGCGCGGGTGACGCGTCCCCGCCCCCAGGGAAGGCTTTCCAGCGTGCCCGGCAGATGAACATCGACGTGGCCACGTGGGTGCGGCTGCTGCGCAGGCTGATCCCCAACGCCACAGCCACCAGCACCTTCAGCCCTGGGTCCTCGCCAGGACCTGAGGCCCGGCCGGTGGGGTAAGGCGGGAACCCTGCCGCGCGGACCACCGGTTCGGCTGAGGCTCCGGGGTCTCCGTCTCTCACCCAGCCCCACCCTCTGCCGCAGGGAGGTGTCCCTGGAGAAGCTGACCCTGGGGCCTGACCCCGACAGTTCCCCACCCAAGAGCCCGCCTGGGCTGCTGTCCAGCTCCTCCAGCCCGGTGAGCACGTGTCTCCTGTCACCTCCCAAACATGAGTGACATTACCAGTGGGAGCCTCCCTGGGGATACACAGCTCCAGGTCCCAGTTTCCTATCCTGGTTAAGTATGAGCTTAGGATCGAGGATGCAGCTTAGCGGTGTAAGCGCCTGCCTGGCAAGTGCAGGGTCCTGAGTTTGATTCCTGCTACCAACAAGAACAATTTAAAAAACACAACTAGAACAAAAACGTCTGAACTCAGAGGCTTGACTGCCACCCTGGGTTCCACCTCCAGCACTGCAAAAAAAAAATAATGAATTTGGAGCCAGGGGTAATAGCTCATCCCTATAATCCCAGCACTCAGGGAGGCTGAGGCAGGAAAAGCTCAAATTTGAGCCCAGCTCGGAGAAGATCTTGTCTCAAAATGTTAAAAAAAAAAAAAAAAAAGACTGGGGATCTAGCTTGGTGCAATAGTCCTGGAGTCAACTTCAGTACCAGAAAAAGCAAAAAGCAGAACAAACAAAAAAAACAACTTGGAAGGGCTGTACCCTTCTCTGCTTGGCTTGGGTTCTTTTTGAAGTCTATGTGGTCAGGTGTAGGGCCACATACCCATAATCCTAGAGCTCAGAAGCCCGAGGCAGGAGGATCACTGTCTGAGTCCAGCCTGGGGTACATAGTGGGTGCAAGGCCAGTTTGAACTAGCTAGCCAGATGCTACAACAAAAAATCCCAGGCCTGTAGCGGTGTAAGCGCCTGGGATCCCCAGTCTTTTTTTTTTTTTAACATTTTGAGACAAGATCTTCTCTGAGCTTTTCCTGCCTCAGCCTCCCTGAGTGCTGGGATTATAGGGATGAGCTATTACCCCTGGCTCCAAATTCATTATTTTTTTTTGCAGTGCTGGAGCTGGAACCCAGGGTGGCAGGGTGGAACTAGCTAGCCAGATGCTACAACAAAAAATCCCGGAGCACTGCAGGAGGCTGAAGCAGGAGAATCACAAGTTCGAGTACTTCCGGATACATTTAGCAAAAGCTTGTCCTAGGAAAAGAGCTGGGGATGTCAGTAAAGAGCCCTGGGTTCCAGTTCTAGTGCCCCATGAACATGCGCTAACATATACAATGGCACAGAAAATATTTGGGAGTTAAAGTATGTTTGGGAGGAAAAGCAGAAGTGGATTTTTGTTTCTTTTCTTTTTGAGGCAGGGTCTCATGATGTAGTCAGGCTGACCTCTTGGATCTCCTGGCTCAGCCTCCTGAGTGCTGGGTTTGTGTGTGTGCCAGCACACCTTCCTAAAGACAGGGGCTGTTAGGAGGGACACTGGATCTGTTTGATCCAGTGGTCAGGTTTACCTTTACCCAGCAAAGGTAAACCTCGAAGAGAGGCTTAAGGGGGGATCACTCAGATGTGGGGGTGGGGCCATCTTGGGAGAGAGTGCAGCTGTGGAAGGCCCTGGGGTAGAAATCCGCCTGGATGTGGTCAAGGGGACAAAGGGAGGGAGGACAGAGGTCCCTGGCCAGGCTGGCAGGGTTGTGGGTGTCCTGTTGCTGACGTCTGCCTCTGATCTCTCTCTGCAGGGTTCCCCCAGCCAGACAGTGGCCACTATTCCACACTTACCTTCGGAGACCCAGGAGAGCCCAGGCCCCGGCCTGTGCAGGTGATGCCCTGCGTGGCTCCGCCCCCACCCGGCCCGGCCCTGCCCACCCCGCCTGACTCCTCCTCTCCCCACAGCTCCCTGAAGAAGTCGCCTCTGACGCTCGAGGACTTCAAGTTCCTAGCAGTGCTGGGCCGGGGTCACTTCGGGAAGGTGAGGCCGGCGGAGTCAAGGGCTGTGAGTCGGGGGGCCTGGGGCCGTCTGACCCTGGAGATCATCTCCCCCCTGCTCCGTCCAGGTGCTGCTCTCTGAATTCCGGGCCAGCGGGGAGCTCTTTGCTATCAAGGCTTTGAAGAAAGGGGACATCGTGGCCCGAGACGAAGTGGAAAGGTGAGACTGTGCTGTGTCCCCGCTTCTGGGACGTTCCCTTGTGCCCTCGAGTTTGGGACCTTCACCGTTACCCGGCTGTGAACTCCCTGCTGATCACTCCGTGCTGTGCTTGTTGCTCTCTGTGGATTGCACAGAGAGACCAAGCAATGTCCCCAACATCACACGGCTGGGCGGTGGCCTCAGCCCAGGACTGGAACCTGTGCTCTCAGGCTCTGAGATCTGTGCTCCTGATGGCACCACTGCTCTGTGCCTGCTTTGGTGCCAGGGCCCTGAGTTCCAATCCCCCCTCTGCCAGATATGTAGGAGATCTGGGGGAAGCCACAACTTTGACGAGAACTTGGGCCCATCACAGGGTTGGCACTGCTGCCTGGCAGGGTGGCACACACCTGTAATCTCAGCTATTTGGGGGGCCAGAGCAGGGGGTCACAGGTTCAAGGTCAGCCTGGACAACTCAGTGAGAGCATATTTAGCTGGGTGTGGTGGCAGCACAGGCCTGTCATCCCAGCACTCGGGAGGTTGAGGCAGGATGATTGCTGTGAGTTCCAGACCAACCTGGGCTAAAAAGTGAGCTCAAGGCCAGCCTGGATTGCACAATGAGACCTCTCCAAAAGACAAAAGAAAGTAAACAGTCTGGGGGGCTGGGGATTTAGCTCAGCGGCATAAGCGCCTGCCTTGCAAGCAGGCAGTCGTGAGTTCGATCCTCGGTACCAATAAAAAAGAAAAAAAAAAATTAAAAAAAAAAAAGAAAGTAAACAGTCTGAGCTGTGCTGTATTCCTATATCGGCACTGGGATTTTCCCACAGTTCCCAGCGGTCTCTGTCATAATCAGGAACCCAGGAAAGCCTTAAACAAATGAGGGAATTTATTGATCTGGATCAGTAAAGAATCCCAGGGGCTCCGCTTCAGGCACGGCTGTATCCGGGTGTTTCCCGCACTGCGTGGTGGAGCTGCTACCGGACCCATCCTGTGGGAGTCTTGGCGGCAGCCGCCTTCACTGGGCTCCCTCTGCCTGAACCAGTCCTGGGCAGAGCGATGTGGCTCCGCGGGCCTGGGTCCGGGTCCTCCGACCTGCAGTTCCCCCATGTGCAGCAGGGGGCGCTGTTGGGTCATGGGCGGATTCCGGGTGCTCCGTCCGCACACCGGGCCTAGACCAAGCCTCAGAAGTCCTGCTGCAGCCCAGCTGCACGCAAGTCGAGGCCTCCGAGAGCCTGGGGTTTGGGGGTGTAGAACTCAGCCGGGCCTCTGTCCCCCGCACCTGCCCTAGCCTGATGTGCGAGAAGCGAATCCTGGCGGCTGTGACCCGCGCGGGGCACCCCTTCCTTGTGAACTTGTTCGGCTGCTTCCAGACGCCCGAACACGTGTGCTTCGTCATGGAGTACTCGGCCGGCGGGGACCTGATGCTGCACATCCACAGCGACGTGTTCTCTGAGCCCCGAGCCGTGTGAGCCCCGGTCCTCCGACCTCCCCCTAGACCCGCCTGCCTCAGCCTCCTGGAGCCCTGGGGCCGCAGCCCTGACCCCTGCCCGCTTCTCTCTGCAGCTTCTACTCAGCCTGCGTGGTGCTGGGCCTGCAATTCCTCCACGAGCACAAGATCGTCTACAGGTGCGTGCTGCCCCGGTGGGGGGCTCCAGCCTGGGGCTGCCCGCCCCTCCCCCACTCACGCCCCGCCCCTCCCCAGGGACCTAAAGCTGGACAATCTGCTGCTGGACACCGAGGGCTACGTGAAGATTGCGGACTTCGGCCTCTGCAAGGAGGGTGAGGGCTGGGTCTGGCGACCCGATGGCCTGGGGTGGGCTGGGTAAGGGGAAGCGGGGAGCGCCCGGGGTCCCCACAGCCCCAGCCCCATGAGTTCCCACGGTCCCGCCCGCCGCCTGCAGGCATGGGGTACGGCGATCGGACCAGCACGTTCTGCGGGACCCCCGAGTTCCTGGCCCCCGAGGTGCTGACCGACACGTCCTACACGCGTGCCGTGGACTGGTGGGGGCTGGGCGTGCTGCTCTACGAGATGCTCGTGGGTGAGGTGAGTGTCCCCGACTCCCGGGGAGGAAGGGGCGCCGGCCCTTGGGGCCTGCGCTCACCACATTGCGTCCCGCTGTCCGCAGTCCCCGTTCCCTGGGGACGACGAGGAGGAGGTGTTCGACAGTATCGTCAATGACGAGGTGCGGTACCCCCGCTTCCTGTCCGCTGAGGCTATCGGCGTCATGCGCAGGGTGAGCACTGGGTGAGGGCTGGGCGGGGAAGAGGGGCACGCTGGGCCCGAGACCACAGCTGACCCGGTTCCACCTCGCCCCCAGCTGCTGCGCAGGAACCCGGAGCGGAGGCTGGGCTCCAGCGAGCGCGACGCGGAGGACGTGAAGAAGCAGCCGTTCTTCAGGGTGAGGCCCCTTGACCTTCTCCACCAGGGCCCAGGGCCCCTCAAGACATGGCGCGGCCCCGGGAGCCCCGCTTTGCTCCCCCCACTCCTGTACCCACTTCCTCTGGGTTGCGCAGCCCTGACCTCAGCATCCCCCTGTGCCCAGCCCAGACCCTCCTGCCTCAGCCTCCTCTTCACCCGCCTCTTCTCCCCTCTGCAGACCCTGGGCTGGGACGCGCTCCTGGCCCGCCGCCTGCCGCCCCCCTTCGTTCCCCAGCTCTCGGGGCGCACGGACGTCAGCAACTTCGACGAGGAGTTCACGGGGGAGGCGCCCACGCTGAGCCTGCCCCGGGATGCGCGGCCCCTGTCTGCCGCCGAGCAGGCTTTTTTCCGGGACTTCGACTTCGTGCCCGGGGGCTGCTAGCACCCGCCCTGCCCTCCCTTCAGGAGTTCTTAGTTTTTAAAAAAGGCCTTTGGGGTTTGCCCCGACCCCCGCACCCTCCGTCCCTTCTCGTGCTTTGAGTGGCCTGCGGCGAGAGGGGGTCAGGGTTGCCCTGGGCTTTGGGGTCTTGAGCGCCCCCCAGAGCACGATGCGGGAGGTGCAGGCGCCGCACGTTTGGGCAGCTCGGGGCCACTGTGAGCCGAGTGGAGGCTCAGGGGTCTCCAACGCCCTCTAGAGCATCGTGCATGACTCCCGGATGGGTCGGGGCGCCTCTGTGCACCCACACTGGAGCCGCAGCCCAGAGGAGATGGACCAGGTGGCTTGATGGCACGGGGTGCGTCAGCGGTCAGCACTGGCCGAGACCACTGTGCCGAGAGCTGCGTAGAGAGCTGGCTTCCCACGCTCCCTTGGCCGGGCCCAGCTCTGTGTCACGGCCCCGGCCTTGGGCCCTGGCGGGGAGCAGGCGCAACAGCTGGCGCAGCACAGCCTGGCGCAGCAGGATGTACACCCATGGGTCCAGGATCTGGTTCCAGGAGGCCAGACGCACAGCCAGGAAGAGTGGGCGCTGCAGGGCGCTGGGGCTCCAGCCCCCGACGGCCAGCACCACCAGCACCTGTGGGGACAGCAGTGTTGGGGGGCTGCACGGGGCGGACAAGGGGCCCAGGGATGAGCTCCTGAGAGGGGTGAGAGAAAGGTTTGAGCAGGCGAGGCTGCTGCAAGAAAGGAAGGACCCGCGCAGGGCACCTCTTGTGGTGGCGCACGCCTGTCATCCCAGCAATGGGGTGGCTGAGGCAGGAGGGTCATTGCAAACTCCAAAGCAGCCTGGGCTGCAAAGTGAGTTCAAGGCCAGCCTGAACCGCATAGCGAGACAAAAACAAAAGTGCAGAGCGCGCGGGGAAGGGTTGCGTGGATGGGCGGAGCTGTGCGCTGGGGAGACCAGGGGAGGGGGGGGTTGGACCCGAGGGCAGGCCGTGCTCACCAGCAGGGGGCTCCAGCAGATGCATGACACCACCATGATGCCCACGAGCTGCCCCACCATCTCCACGTCGTGCGCGCGACTCCTGCGCGCTGAGCCGCCGCCCCGGGAGCTGCGCAGGGTGGCAGAGGCGGAGCCCGAGGCGATGGACGAGGCGGAAGAGGCGGAGGTGGAGCGGGGTGCCCAGCGCCGGAAGCCTTCGGGGCCCGGGACCTCGGGAAGCCGTCGGGAGCGGTAGCGGCGCCAGCGCGCGCGCAGCAGTGCCAAGCCGCTGAGCGAGTTGCACACTAGCGCGGCGAGGAGCGCGGCCAGGCCGAGGCCGGCGAAGAGGCCTGCGAGCAGCGCCTGGCGCCAGCCCCCGGGCGGGCCGAGGCCGATGAAGCACCAGGTGCCCGGGTACTGCCGCTCATAGCGCCCCACGCGCGCCAGCGGCAGCAGCGCCACGGACAGGGCCACCGCGGCCAGCGCACCCAGCGCCATGCGCGCCCGGGCCACCGACACGCGCGCTGCGTGCAGCAGCGGGCGCGTGAGGCCCACACAGCGCTCCACCGCCATCCCGCAGCCCAGCAGCAGCGGGCACAGCCCGAAGAAGACCATGCAGCCGCCCAGGAAGTGGCAGGTCCCGCCAGCTGGCGCGCGCCCCGCAGCGTACAGGCGCAGCACCAGCGCGCCCGGGATCACGTGGCCGGCCAGGTCCGTGGCCAGCAGGCTGGCGAGGAACAGCAGGAAGGTGGCCGCCGAGCGGCGGCGCCGCAGCCGGCCCGCGGCCTGGGCCAGCAGCGCCAGGGCCAGCACGTTGGACACGGCGCCCAGCGTCATGGAGAAGATGGGTAGCGCCGGGGAGCCGCTGGGAGCCCCCGATGGCACCGCTGCCGATACGTTGGGGACCCCGGGCGCCCCACAGGCGCTCACCTCGCCCGGCAGGCTCGAGTTGGGAGGCCCGCAGGGGCTCATGTCAGGGGCCGGGAGGGCTGCAGGAGAGAGGGAGGCTAGGTGAGGCCATTCCCGGGTCACCAGGCCAGCAGACCCCGCTGTCCTTGTGACTCAGAAGGCTGGGACGCTGTCCCTGCCCACACTGGCTGCAGGCTGCCCAGAACTTCAGCTGCCCCAGCCCAGCCTCCGACACCTCTGCCCTCACTCCGGCTGCAGCCTGACTGCTCCGGATTTGCCTCTGTGACACAGGGTCTCGCTGTGCTGTTCACGCTGGCCAGGGTCTCCGTTTATAGCCCAGGCTGGTCTTGAACTCCCAAGGATTCTCCTGCCTCAGCCTCCGGAGTGCTGGGATGACAGGCATGCACCATCACACCCAGCCTGCTTCCTGCTTTTACCTCCCAGTGAGTTTCTGGCTCACCCTGAGCCCTCTGTGGTGCTGGGGTCCTCACCCCTGACTGCCACCAGGTCACCTGTCCTCAGCGCCCCCAACTCTGCAGCACATCCTCTCGGAGGCGGGGCCAGTCCATCCCCAGGGACCCGCCGCTCCCTGCCATGACATGGGCTCTGTCTCGGTGCCCCCTGCACCCTAACTGCCCTCGTGGTCCCATCTGTGATTCCCGAGGTGCTGTCTGTGTCCTGAAACCACCTCTCCGTGCCTCACACACCACGCTGATTCCAGCCCTGCTGGCCCCATCTCCTGTCCCAGAGGCTTGGCCGCCCAGGACCACACACAGGTACACACTCCTCCTCCTCCTCCTTTTCCTCCTCCTCCGCCTGGCGCTGAGGCTGAGGCGGACTCCCCCGGGGCCAAGCGAGAGGAGGATGCGGGAAGCCGGGCAGGGACCAAGGCAGCCATAGCCCCATCCGCTGTGCCCTGAGGTCCCCTCCGCCCTTCCCTCCTCCTACCTGGTGCTGCAGGGGACGCCGGGCCCCCATGGCCCCCAGTGCCAGCGCCCACTGCGCCTGGCCCGGCCCTGTCAGGCCGATCCGCCCGTCCTCTTCCTGGGTAGATCCGGCTCCCGCCCTCACCGCGCCCTGTGGCCTCGGGGGCCGCACCACTCCTTGCCCGCCCTCTGGGGCCTCTGGGGCCAGAGACCCCTCTCTGCACTCCCGGCGCTGGAGAGGGGCTGCTCCGGGCCCTGGCTACCCGGCTTCTTCCAGGGAGGCTCCTGGGCGCTGGCCTGGCCCCTGGGACCCCCCCCAGCCACCCCACCCGGCTCGGGCTTCTTGCCCGCCTCATTAATAAAGCGGATAAAATCTAAACACTGGAAAATATGAGCGTCGCCCAGGGCGGGCTGGGGAGGCTGCGGGGAGGGGGCGGTGCCTCCCCCAGCGGGGCTTTGGGGCTGGGGGAGGGGGGCCGCGCAGAGGGGCACTGACACAGGGCCACGGCAACCTTTATGGGTGTCGGGGGATGGACTAGTAGCGTTTCGGAAGGGCCGGCCTGGCTGGGACCTGCCCGCTATTCTCACAGGGCCCCCATGGCCCTGAGAGGTCTGGGGTGCACTGAGTGACAGGTCTGGGGACACAGGCCAAGTCATCTTCACATCCTGCACCCCAACACCCAGCCACAGCCTCACCTCTGGCCCTGGGAAACGGTGTCACAGCCTTGGGAGGCAGCCTCATTCCCTGAGACCCGGCAGTGGCCGCACCTGTCCCCAAGATACCACTGCTGTACCCCGGAACCCACAAAGTCACCCCCTGGTATGGGAGAGCGATTGGAATTGCTGTGATCCCCAACACCCTGTATGATCCTCATCAGGTAGCCCAGGTTCACCTCTGCGCCCTGCTGTCACTGCCAGGTCAGGGGTACACTCAGCCTGCCCAGATACAGGGGTGCCACCTGGACCTTGCCACACCCAGGTACCTGTGGCACTGAGGCTCATATCCTGGGGACCTAAGACTAGACAGATCACCCACAAACCCAGGCACCCCAAGACCCAGCCAGCCACACCGCTCCCCCCAAAACAGCAGCACCCTGAGCGATAGTCGGACTCCACACCTGGAGATGTCACTAGCAGCACTCTGGGGGCGGTGGTCCCCCTTTGCCTGGACCCAGGTCACCGCTCTCCCTGGACCTGTTCACTGGCCACTGGTACCCAACAGACATGCACCCCACTACTGCCAGAGCTGTCCCCACCACCCAGCATTCCTCACAGGTGCGCGGACACCCCGAGTCATTGACTGTGACCCCCACCCTGCCGAAGAGCACAGGCCTGGGCTGGAGGCCTCCTCCTCGGTTGTCCCTCTGCAACTAGGGTGCCAGCTGGACTCGACTCCCATACCTGCAGCTCCTCCCGGGCCCCCGAACATTCCTGTCCTAGCCTGGGCCTCTGCAGGTCTGGCCAGGGCCCCACCCTCCCTGTCCTTGATCCCCTCAATCCTGGGCTGAAGCTGGCTGTCAAAACAAGGCCGGGTTTATGTCCCCTTCAAAGCACCAGCCCAGGACGGACGCCTGCATGGACCCCGACCGCCCGGCATCGGCTGGGGGTGGGGGCGGGGCGGGGGCTTTGAGGTTGGATGGATGGAGGTGCAGGCAGTGCCCCCAGCCCCAGCACCCACTCCTCGCGGGGTCAGGAGGGCCACCTCAACCGACAGAGAGGGTGTCGGGGTGGAAGCATCCGTCACCAGGAATCTCACGTTGCCTGGAAGCCCAGTGGCTGGCAGCCAGCGCCTCTGAGGGAGGACAGCAGGAGAGGGCGGGGGCTGGGCCACCTCTAATTCAATTTGGAGCTGGGGAAGATGGGTTTCAGCTGCCGCCGCGTTCTTTCCCAGCCCCGGTTCACCCTGCACCGCACCCTGCACCCTACACCCTGCAGGCCCGGCCACATGGTTCCTCGTCCAGATAGATCCTTTATGTTCAAGGCAGAAATCCAGATACAAAAGCCCCCCTGCCACCGCTGCCCCTCCTGGGGGCTGGGAGGGCAGGGCAGCAGGGTGGGGTGGGGAGGTTGGGGGTTCACAGCAAACTCTTCCCCAAACAGGAGGTAACAGACTCCAGGTTGGGCTCCTCTTGGGAGGGGACTGGGTTATTGCATTGATAAGGGGACCCCCACCTCCTCTTTATTCCCTGTGTCAGGAAACCAGGTCTCGACCCCCCAGACGGAACCCGGGCCCTGGGGAGACACAGGGACCCATTTGGCAGCTGATGTGGGAGGTGGAGGGGTGGCCGCCAGGCCCAGGTCCCTCCCCAGGCTCCTGACCCAGCTGAGGTAGGGAGCCAGGGAGCCGGGCCAGGGTCAGGATGTGGGGAGACCCTGGGACCAACGCTGGGCACCACCCTCCGCCTGCAGGGCAACAGCCTCGAGCCCAGCTGGCTACACAGGGTCCTGGCCGGGTGTGCCCTGGGGGAGCTCTAGCAAGGCCAGGCTCTGGCCACCAAAAGGTCCATCGGGCTCCTAGTAGCGGCCGACCTTTGCATCCCCGATGGCGCCCCACACGTCAAAGACGAACTCGTCCGGGAAGGCAAAGTCCCCGAGCTGCTCGTCCAGGGCCTCTGCCAGTTCATCTGGGTTTCTTTTGTCTTTGCCCAGCTCGACCATGGTCGCTGCTGCACGGGCACCAGAGGGGAAAAGAATGGAGGCTCAGCGGGCAACAGGTCCACACCATGCCCGGGCCACTCCCCAGACCCTCCACCCCGGCCTTGGGCGCCCACTCACCCAGTTCGGTGTCTCTGATCCCCATGTAACTCTCCAGCAGGTCGTCCACCTTCTCGATGGCTTTCTCCTCAAAGGCTGAGGGCTGGAGGGACGTCATGGTCAGTAAGCACTGCTGCTGCTCTCATGAAGTTTTTTTCCCCCATTATTGGGGATCGTATGAATCTGGGGGCATCTCAGCTCCACCCCTAGCTTTTTCTCTCTTTCTCCTTTTTTCTTTTTATTTTGGGGGGGTCTTATGGAGACAGGGTCTCACTATGTATGTAGTTCAGGCTGGCCTTGAGCTCATTTTGTAGCCCAGGCTGGCCTCAAACTTGCAGCGATCCTCCTGCCTCAGCCTCCTGAGTGCGGGGATGACAGGAGGGCACCACCGAGCCCGGCTGTTTTATTTTGAACCAGTCTCATGAGGTTCAGGCTGGCCTTGAATGTGCGATCCTGCCTCAGCCTCCCATGGGGCCAGCAGTGCCAGCCTCAGCGTCCTTACTGATCTGCCCACCTCCTGTTTTACGTAGATTTCCACCCATGCTGAACCTTCAGGGCCAGCGGAGAGGAAGGGATTTGGTATTATGACTCCCTGGTGGCAAATGGGGAAGCTGAGGCATGCTTGCCCCAGGAAGGCTCCAGCGCTTGGAGTGGGGAGAGCATTAGCAGCTGCTCAGTTACGGGATCAGGTGGCACCCGGGGGACACTCACCAGCTCCTCCACGGTGGCCGGGCCACGGGAGCGCAGCCGCAGGGTGCCTCGGCCAGTGCCCAGCTGCGGGCCGGAGCCAGGGCGGCTGCCAGCTGAGCGCTGGCTGATCATGTCTGTGGGCGCAGGGGGAAGGGAGTTTGACCAAAGGCCCGGTAGGGTACTCAGTATCTGGCCTCGGCCAGCACCCCACACCTTAGAGCTACTCCAGGCACCTGCAGCCTGAGGGACCGACGCTGGGAGGGCAGCACGGTGCCAGGGTGGCCTGGGCCAGGCCTGGGGAAGGGAGGCAGAGATCAGGGGTGACAGGGCAGGGGCCGGGTCCTTGGGTCTGTTCCTACTGAGGGGGCCATGGCTGCCGGCAGGCCTCAGGCCCGCTCCACTACCCGCTGCAGTGGGAAGAGTGCCCAGTCCCCTGCCCCACCCCAAGGCCCGGGGCCCATTCCTGGGAGTCAGTGAAGCCGGATGGAAAAGTGGGGGGCAGGCGTGGGGCAGCCAAGCCCAGCTCCTGGGAGCTGGGGGGCTGGCCAAGGTTGGGGGCCCTTGGCTGGGTTAATGGCTCCTGGGAGGTGGCCGCGGGGCAACTTCCTGCTGGTCCCCCCAGGCAGGGCAGACAGCCAGAACCCCTTCCAGGCCCGGGCGGAGCTGTGTCCCTCCCCAAAGGCGCTGGTCGCGCTCGGGCGCCACCTGCGGGCGGCTCCGGGTCCTGCAGCCCCGCGCTCACCGAAGGCCTTGCGGGGCTCCGTGAGCCTCAGCGTGAAGGTGCGGCCGCGGGGCAGCTCCTTGAGCAGCCGGGCCACCTCGTAGTGGCGGCAGCCCAGCAGGCTCTGGCCGTTGATGGCCTCGATCATGTCCCCCACGCTGATGAGCTGGATGTGATCGATCACGCTGCCTTCCTTGATGCGCTGTGCAGGGAGGGGCGCGTGAGCTGGGGTCCCCCCTGCACCCCAGTGACTCTGCCCGCCCACCTGCCGGGCACCGGCGCAGGACCGCGGGGACCTTGATGAAGGCATAGCCCGCGCCGTTGTCCGTGATGGTCAGGCCCAGTGCGTCCTCCGACTTGAACACCTCCACCTCCTTGCGCTGGCCCTTGACGTGGGCAAAGATGAAGTCCTCCAACCCGATCTGGCCGCCCAGCAGCTTGTCCATGTCCACTTTGTGGGTGTTGAGGGTGCAGAACATCACCTGCGGGGGGTAGGAGGGAACACACTCGTCTCTGCCCCTCGGGGTCGCCTGTACCAAGTGCCCGGAGTAAAAGGCTGGGACCAGGAGGCCGTCCTGCCTCAGCCTCAAGACTGCATCCAGATAAGGTACCGATAAAAACGAAAAAGACAAAAAAAAAAAAAAAATACTGCATCCAGGACACAAAACCAGTTTTGATGCTTGGGGGGTGAGTGAGGGGGTCCAGACCACCCAGCCCAGCCCAGCCCCATGGGCCTGCTCCTTGGCCCCCAGGGTCCTGGCTGGAGATATGCAGCTCCCATCGAACGGCCTCATTTGGGGGGCACCGACTAGCCCCCCCCGCCCCCCCCCGCTCTGGTCCCCCGCAGTCTGTGGGGTGCAGGCCTCCACGGCGCCCTGAGCTCAGTTTGCAGCTGTAGCCGCCCATCCCCTATGATCTCCTGGGGTTTGGGCCTCGCAGGCCCCTAGGGAGCTCGCCTTGCAGAGATGGGGCTCAGGGCCCACCACCGCATGGACCCCGGGGCCCGGGCCGGGCTCACCTCGGCGGGCGGCAGGCGGAAGGCCTCCGCGATGCGGCCGTACAGCTCCTTCACGTTGCTGAAGCCCTCGATGCGGCCGGTGGGGCTGCCGTGCGCCAGCTGCGTGTGGAACACCAGGCGGGGGCGCAGCGCGGGCGGCGGGGGCGGCAGCCCGGCCTGGGGGAGCCCCGCGCCCGCCCCGCCCAGCGGGCCCTGCTCGCCGCCCAGCCCGCCGCGCGCGGCCTCAGCCTCCTCATTCTCCACCAGCGGTGGCGCCTTCTTCCGCCGCCCCAGTCCCAGCGGCATCGGCTGCGGCGAGAGGTGGGGCCGCGCCCCGGGACCTGCGAGGCAGAGGCAGGAGGGTCGCGGCCAGTCTGGGGGTGACCCCTAGTAACCCTGAGCTCAAGACCAGCCTGGACTGCAGGGCCAGACTCTGCCTCAAAACTCAAAAAACAAGCCGGACATGGTGGCACACACCTGTCATCCCAGCACTCAGGTGGCTGAGGCAGGAGGCTCGCTGCGAGTTCGAGACCAGCCTGGGCTACAAAGTGAGCTCAAGGCCAGCCTGAGCTGCATAGACACCCTGTCTCAAAAAGACCAAAAATAAATAAATAAGTAAAAATAAAAGGAGGGACTCTGGGGGCCCAGTTCGTTTGCAGGCACTCCTCTCATTCCCCTTATGGAAAAGAGAAGTATAAGGAAAGAAAAGAATCTGTTAGTTCATCACAGAGAATAAAAGTTCGTGCTGTCACTGTTTGACTGTTCGGGTTTTTTTATGCTTAGATTTTGTAACTTATGTAACGAGTGCTGTTTCTGTTATTTTGTGACACTGTATTGTTTTCTATCCTTGACAGCACCTTGCTAACTGTGCAGTAGACCCCGTTTCTATTTATTTACGTTTTCATGCTTGTTGGCGCTGGGGACAGGACCCGGCCCTGGGCCCCCGGCCTTCCTGTGCACTTTAATCAACTCCCGGTGACACAGCAACCTCATGGGGAAGCTCGGTGACTGGATGACACGCTGCCGTCGGGGGGGGGGGGGGTGATCTGAGCCCGAGCTCCGAGCACAGTGGCCGCTTTTGCGGGGTCTGCGGGTGTGAACTGGACGCAGAGCAGAGGCCCGTATGCTGCTGTTGCTGTTTTATTTTCTTTCTTTCTTTCTTTGGCACTAGGAATCGAACTCATGACCCTGCGCTTGCCAGGCAGGCGCTTGTGCCGCTGAGCTAAATCCCCAGCCCCAATCTGCACACTGTTTTAATGAAACACATAAGATCCCTGGCCAAGAACACCATGTGCAGTTACACAGGTTGGGCACTTCACAAAACCAGGAGACCTGAACAGGGGGTATGGCTCAGTGGCACAAGTGTCTGCCTGGCAAGTACGAGGTTCTGAGTTCGAATTTCGATACCAACAAAAACCAAAAACAAAACAAACTAGTAGGCCAAAGTGATAAGGAAGTGTCCTGTGCTCTGCCTGCCACCCTCTGCCCCTTGGTGTGTCGTGTGTTCCAGGAGGAAGGATATCTGTACGACCTGGAGCTGGGCCTACTCTCTGCAGAAATATCCAGTCTTGGCTCAGATTAGCCTTGAACTCCCTATGTAGCCCAAATTGGCCTGGAATTCACAGTGATCTTCCTGCCTCAGCCTCCCAAGGGCTGGAATTATTATGTGCAGTACCACACCGGGCCAGAGTATACCCTAATTATTAAAGCACGTTTATTAAAGCTTTTTTTTTCTTTTTGGTATCAAGGATTGAACTCACGACCTTGCGCTTGCCAGGTGGGCACCTCAGCCACTGATCTACATCTCCAGTGCTTTTTTTTAAAGAGCAGAATATATTTATTGAGGGAAAGAAAGATTCTGTCTGAGAGAGAGACAGAAGCGGTGACTTTTTGCTTCTTAATCATGTTTATTTTCTCACTTTGCTCATTCATCTATGTTAAGTAGAAACACAAATTAACCCTTTGGAAAAAAAAAATGTCCAGTCTCAAGACAGAAACCAACAGTGAGCTAGCGATGTGTAAATTTCTAATGTCACATCTGCTAGTGCTGTGAGATTAAGAAAGCTAGACTAGGTGGGTGTGGTGACGCACGCCTGTCATCCCAGCATTCGGGAGGCTGCGGCAGGAGAATCACTGTGAGTTTGAGGCCAGCTGGGCTACAAAGCGAATTCAAGGCCAGCCTGAGCTGCATAGTGAGACCTTCTCTTGAAAAAAAAAAAAGTAAGACTAGTCCTACAGAACATTTGGGGACAGCTCTCTGGTCTTGGAGACCAGAGGGACACACAGGTATGTAGGGTGGGAAGGTTCCAGGCAGAGGAACATCCAGGGCAAATGCCCTGTGGTTCAGAGAGGGCGAGAGGGGGCAAAGCATTCCACGCCTTGGATTTACCCCCTGAGAGTGGGAGCTGTGCCCTGATCAGCTCCTGGGTCCAACGATCTCTATTATTTGTTTTTGCCTTTTTTTCTGAACTGAGAAACGGTCTTGCTATGGAGCCCAGGCTGGCTTCAAATTCCAGGCAATCCTCCTGCCTCAGCCTCCCAAGTGCTGGGAGACAGGTGTATACCAGCCACTGCTGACGGAACCATTAGCACACAGTCCTGGGTAAAAGGCGCTTCTGGAATCCTCCTGTTGGCTCTCTCGGGGGAATCTGGGGTTCTGCAGAGCCCCGGGGACTGCGCCGACCTGAGCGCCAGCCTGTGCACCCATCCACTGATGCCCTCACCTGGGGTGCGCGGTGGCTGCTCCGGGGCTTGGCTCTGTCCTCTTGCTGCGGGCCCAGCCGTCACAAAAGTCCTGCGGAACATGACCCGTGTCTCCTCTCCTCCGTCCAGCCACATGGCGGCCCATGCCCTTGGAGTAAACGCCTCATGCCACCCATCGTCACCAAGCCCCAGGATCCCAGGTGTCCATGTCACCTCCTACCCTGATCTAGCCCACGGCTCCGGCCAGGCCTGTGTCCTCCTCGGTGAGCACAGGGGCGATCGGTGCAGACCTGGACCCCAGCGCAGTCACCAACCCACTGCGTGACCGTGGGCGGTGTGGCTCACTTCATAGGCCTCGGCGTCCTCATCTGAAAGACAGGCAGAGGCTGAGTGCCAGCTGCTCTCGGGAAGCCAGAGGGATTGCTGGGCACGGGACCCACTGGGCAACTTCCTCACCACTCAGGGTTAGAATTATTATTTTTTGTCTTTTTGAGTCAGAGTCTCGATCTGCAGTTCAGGCCAGCCTTGAGCTCACTCTGTAGCCCAGGCAGGTCTCGAACTCAGAGACGACCCTCCTGCCTCAGCCTCCCCAGAGCTGAGATCACAGGCATGTGCCACCATGCCCAGCTGCCTGGCTCCATCACTACTGTCAGATCTACTCCTGGTGTCCCCCTACCCTACCCTATGCCATCCAGCACCACCCCAGTCCTGCCTGCCTGCCCGGGCTTGTTCCTGGCCACATCCTCTGGGCAGCCTTCCTGGCTTGCTCCAGCCTGTTGGAAAGGCCCATGTGCCAGGCAGCTCCGGCCCAGGAGCCTAATTACACACTAGGCTGACGGAACCCTTGTCTTCAGCCTCCAGGCTGCCATTTAACTCCATGTCTCTATTTTAAAATGTAAACCAGATGACACTGCTCTTCCGCCAGGATCCCCCTGACGGGAGAAAGCTCCAGCCAGCACGCACTTACTGTGACCCACACACAGGCACAGCATCGCTACCCTGGCTCCCCCTCCAGGACCAGCCCGGGAGGCCAAGCTGGGGCGGGAGGGCGACAGCTCCTTTATGTCATTCTCTCCGGACCCCCTGAGACACCGTCTTTGGGAGCACCCCTGGCCTCAGCTTACAGCACACGGGGTCCCCCTAATATTCTGTCTATGGGGCGATCTGAAATGATCTCTTAACTTGTTTGTTCCCTGCCCCACCCCCAACAAAATGTCAGCTTCCCCGAGGCTGGGATTCCCCTCCCCTTTGAGATGTGCTCTCACTTTGTAGTCCAGACTGGCCTCGAACTCACTACCTAGTCCAGACTGGCGTCCAACTTTCAGGGATCCTCTGCACTTAGACCCCTGCGGACTGCGATCACAGGCACCGGCGAAGCCAGCTCAAAGCAGGGATTTCTGTCTTTTTTCCCCTATTGCATGCTTGGTACCAAATACAGTGCCTGGCACACAGCAGGTGCTCGGGAAATGTCTCCTCCACAATGAAGGCATCGCTCAGGGGTGCAGCACCTGCCCAGCATGCACCTTCCCACTGGGGCAGAAGGAGCCAGCTGCAGACAGAATAAGTGTATCTGTGTCCACCCCAGCTGTTCTTGGACCTTGCATCCTGCCCAAGCCACCTCTCCACTCTGCCTGCGCAGGGATGGAGTGGGGTTTGCCCGGACCCAGCGGGCTGGGTGAGACTCCAGCACTGGAGCCTAGGAAAGGCCTGCCTCTGAGCAACCCCAAGTGGGCAGCAGGAAGTGGAGACGGGGGTTCCCTGGAGTTCCGCGAAGCTGGGCAGGTGGACACCACACCCTGCACGGTACTGCTTCGGCGTGAGCAGACACAGGAGGCCTCTGATTCACTCTTGAAAAACCGGCTTGGCCCGAGTTTCCCGGGAGGACGCCCAAGCCTCGAGGGCCTGGCCCATGGAGACCCCGGCACCCTCGGCTCGCTGCCCCCTCTGCCTACAGACGCCACTGGCTTCTCACGACCCAGACCCTCAATGGCACCTCGCTCTCAGCTCAGGGGAGAAGGGGCAGGGCGGCTTCCGGTTAGGCTGCCTGGTGGCCTCGGGTGGGGAGCAGGCCACCGCCAAGAGGTGTGGCCCAGAGGTGGGTGGGGCGGAGCACCGGCCCGAGGCACCTGCGATCGGGAAGGCTCTGGTCCGGCGGTGGAGACCGCAGCCCGCGACCCTGACCCGGGTTCGAGTCCCACGTCCGACACCGAGGTGCAGGGTAGTGACCTTGGCCAAGTCGCTGCCCCCCGGAGGAGAGATTAGCGGGGAGGGGTTTCGATCCACAGACCCGCACCGTAGACGCCTGGCAGGACGGCTCCGCCGTCCTCACCGCGGACCCCGGCGATCGCCGCCGTCCCGGGCTGTGGGGTCCCCGGGGAGAGAGTTCGCGCATCCCCGCGTGCAGCTCGAGCTCCGGCCGCGGGCCTGCCCCGCACGATCGGGCGATCCTCGAGGTCCGAAACTGCGGGGTGCACACCAGGTCTCGCCCTGGGCCCGTCCCCTCTCGGGCTGGGAATACTCACCTGAGTCGCCGCCACCGCCGCCGGCCAGAGCGCGCCCCGCTCGGTCCTCCCGCAAACTCCCGGCCGGGCCTCTCCAGCAGCGGCGCCGGCCAGGGGGCGGGGCCAGTGCCCCGCGAGAGCCAATGAGTGGCCACCGCCTATCGCTGGCGACCAATCCGCGCCTTCCCTCTGGGGGCGGAGCCGATGGGGACATTCCAGAGGGATCGCTCCGCCACGCCCGGCTCGCGCACACCCCTCTCCCCGCGGCGCAGTGGACCATCCCGCCCCGCCTAGGCCGCGGTGGGCTGTACCACAGCGGGGCTGCGGAGGGGGGCGCGGCGGAGGGGCGCCGGCCAATGGCGCGGGAGGAAGCAGACCAGCGGCCAATGGGAAGCTGGGACCCCCGGACCACGTGCTGCGGGCTGAGTGTCCGCGTGGGGGGTGCCAGGGTGTTAAGGGCGGGGGATCGGCGGTGGGAGTCAGGTGACCAGCGCTGAGTTTCGGGGGAGAAGGCGTGAACTCTCGGTGTGCAGAAAAGCAGACCTGAGAGTGAAACCTGTTCCTCAGAAGACCGAAAAGCAGGCCCTTATGTCAGGCCCTGGTAGCTCGACCCGCTTTCCCGCCGGCCCCCTGTGCCCCAGTCCGGCCTTGCTGGGGGAGGACAGAAGGGTGCATTCATCGCGATGAATAGGGAGGGTCGCGGGTGTCCCTGCTGCTTGCCAGGGACAATGGACAAAAGCATTCACTCAGGCCTTCACTCATGCATTTAATTCTCCCTCCGCACTGTGCCAGGCTCCGAGCGCGGACCCATGAGAAGCTGTGTGCGAGGCCCGCAGACCAGACAGGAAACTACGGCCCACTGCGGGAATGGGCAGTGCGGGGTGCAGCCGAGCAGTGTGAAAAGCACAGGGGTTTAGTTGTAAAGTTGTTTTGGTATCAAGAATCGAAATCAGGGTCTCGCGCTTGCTAGACAGGCGCTGTGCTGCTGAGCTACATCCCTGGCCCCGGTTTTGATATTTCGGAGACAGTCTCACTATGTAGCTCAGGCTAGCCTTGAACTCACTATGTAGCCCAGGCTGGCCTCCGACTTGTGGCAACCCTTCTGCCTCAGTCTCCCGAGTGCTGGAATGAAGGGCATGAGATTGTATTCGCGTTTGGTTGGATGAGCACCTACTATGGGCTCGATCACAGGCAGTAACCAACCAGTGTTGAGGACGGAGGTTGAGTCTCCCGCTGACCACTGTGCCCACCCCCTACTCCTCGGCCCTTAGACTAGCATCGAAGAGTACAGATGGGCCAGGCAGAGTTCTCCAAGCCTCAGGGAAGCCCAGGTCAGGGAAAGAAAAACACACCTGGAGCAGGTGAGGACTCTTCAGTTTGCAGGACAGGCGCGGTTTCCTCCTCCTGGACAGCTCCGCCGCTGAGGTTGGAGATTGAGGGCGCAGTGTGTTCTGGGAATTGTAGTTCTTGGCAACCCTCTAGTTAGGGGCGCGAGCCCCCTGGAACCACTGGGTCTTGGAAGTCTCCGAGAGAGCTGTGGCGCGTTCCAGCTTCCCCAGGGCTTGCAGGAGGACAAAGTGAAAGAGGGGCCAGGGCCTTGGGCTGAGCGCTGAAGGCCGCGCGGCTGGCCCCACCCAGCTGGCAGACCCGGATCCTGCCGCTCCGGGCTGTAAGAGCGGCGGTCGTCCCTCCCTTCCTGCTCTGGTGACCTCTGCCACCCGCTCTCAAGGCCGGTGCCCGCTGCTGGGGCTGCAGTGGGCACTGCCTTCCTGCGCCCCCGGAGCGAGACGCGTGTAGGGACACCCCGATGCTGGCTGCGGAGTCCTGAGCCCCAGTGCACCCGCGTCCTCCTGACAGGGAAGCTGCAGAGGAAGAGCCCGAGGGAGGCTCGTGGGGTTGCCAGGGGCACGGTGCAGCCAGGACCTACTAGTGTGACAGCTCAGCGGGCAGCCTGGAACAGCCTTGGAAGAGCCTGGCGCGGTGGGAGGGGGGGCTCCTGGAATCCCAGCACTCAGGAGGTGGAAGCTGAGGCAGGAGGATCTTTGCCAGTTTAGGCCAGCCTGGGCTAAAAAGTGAGTTCGAGGCCAGTCTGAAGGACATAGAGACCCTGTCTCAAAAAAGACAAAAAAAAAAAAAGTGTAGAAATGTGTCGCTCCGGCCCTAACCGACCCATTTGAACTGGCGTTAGCATTGAACTGGGCTTGGCGTCACATACCTAGCCTACTCGGGAGGCTGAGGCAGGAGGATCACTGCGAGTTTGAGGCCAGCCTGGGCTACCTACCCAGCGTCTGTCTCAGAACAAAACAAAACAGTGAATGCTGGTTCTCTACCCAGGTGATAAAGTGCTACCGCTGCTGCCTTTGCAGTGTCCAAAGAGGTGAGCCCGAGTCGGATCTCAAGAAGACAGCCACAGACCTCGGGGTCCGGCTGCTCTGCGGAATAGCCATCCAGAGTCTTCAGAGATCGAAGTTGTAAGTGGCAAAATCAATTAGTGAGTCAATTACCTGAATGTATGGGTGGATAAGGGGCTGGGGAAGAAGCCATGTGGTGGTGCATGCCTGTCATCCCAGCCATCTGGGAGGCTGAGGCAGGAGGATCACAATTTTGAGCCCAGCCTGAGCAACTTAATGTCAATGCAATACCCAATCTCAAAATTTAAAATTAAGAAGCGCTGGGTTTGCAGCTCAGGGCTGGGTTCGATCCCCAGGAATGCATAAAAAATGTCCGTGGGTTTGTGGCTGGGTAATGTAAAGGGCAAGATGCTGAGTCCCCTTTCCAGTGCCAATGACTGAAATAAATAAGACTAAATCAGCAAACAGAAATCACTTTTGGCTTGTAAATGAGGGGTTGAAGGCAGGAGGAAAAGAATCAAGATCTGTCATGTACAGGCCACACATTCCCTACGGTGAGTGTGATCATTGTGTGTGTACCTAAAACATACCAATAAACCTAATTAAAATAAAAAGCACTTTGGGGCTAGGGTGCCGGCCACTCACAGATGGTGGCTTCAACCCCAGCACTGCCAGAAAGAGGAGAAGGGGGGAGGGGAGGGGAGGGGAGGGGGGAGGAGAAAAGATCGTTCCCACTAGTAGACTACAAAATCTTTCCTCTGCGTTTTCTTCTATTCATTCTATGTTTTGCTTTTCTGTGTCTGCATTCGAAGCCCAGCCCACCTCCAGAGCCGGGAAAATCCAGCTCTTCCTTTGCTCAGCAGCTCTGTGATAATAATGGAACAGGGGTTGGGGATTTAGCTCAGCGGCATAAGCACCTGCCTTGCAAGTGTGTGGTCATGAGTTCAATTCCCGGTACCGATGAAAAAGAAAAAGAAAAAAAAAAAAAAAAAGAAAAGCGGTATTTTTTTATATAATAGAGTACTACACAGACATAAAGAAGAATAGAGTGGAGACTTTTATAAGTTAATGGATGCAACTAGAGACCAAAGTCATAAGTGAAATAAATCAGACTCACATGTGTAAAACATCCTATTGTCTCCCTAGTGTGAGAAACTGAAATTATATATATGTAAGTTAAAATAGTGATAGTTCTAATTTCCTTTAGTTCATTGAAAAGAAAGCTCTGTGCTGATATTGTTTGGATTATGTACTCTGAGTGATTTAAGATAACAGTTCACAGTGTATTATTAATCATGGTTGCTGCCTAATTATCTTGTTTTGATTTTTTTAAGTGTTTTCTCTGTAAAATTAAAAAAAAAAAAGTAAGGGATTTAGCTCAGCGGCATAAGCGCCTGCCTGGCAAGCACAAGATTGTGAGTTTGATCCCTGGTACAAAAAAAAAAAAACAACATAACACAGTAGGGTCTGCCTGCCATGGCGGCCAAGCCCCTGTTTGGATCAGAGGAGTCACTCCAGGGCCAGGGCCTCTGATGGCCCCGGATAAGGAGCACTTAATGAACCCCAGCTGCTCTCATGAGCCCTGCACTGTGGGGAGAAACAGAAACTGCGCCAGGCTGGGTGCCAGGTACTGGACTCTCTTTCTCTTTCTTTCTGTGTTGGCACTGGGAACCGAACTCACGACCTCATGCTTGCCAGGCAGTCTCTGTGCCGCCGAACTGGACCCCTGGCCCTGGCCTTGTTTGGTCCCACACATGTGATCCATCTCCAGCCTCCACCATTCCCTCCGGTGTGGGTTTGTTTGTTTGTTTGTTGTCTTTCTGAGACAGGGTCTTGCTCTGCGGTTCAGGCTGGCCCTGAGCTCACTTTGCAGCCCGAGCTGGTCTCGAACTTGCAAGCATCCTCCTGCCTCAGCCTCCCAAGTGCTGGGATCACAGGCGTGCCGCACACGCCGGGCTCCAGTTGTGTTTTCTGTCCTTTGCTCCCCCCCCCGGGGGGGGTGTGCACCCACCCCGTGGTCCCCCAGTCTTCTCCCCGAAGCTGCCAAGTGGCGCATGTGAACACCTACAGCCAGTGTCAGCCCTCCTGTCTCAGGAACCCCGGTGACCACGCTCTCCCGGAGGGGTCCCTGTGAACCCAAGTGGACCTTCAGGGGTTTTGTTTGTTGGTTTGAGACAGAGGCTCGCTCAGTGGTTCAGGGTGGCCTTGAACTCTGTGGGCCCAGCTTACATTTCTGCTGTCTTAATCCACCCAGTTTATGGCCACCTGTTTGGGCAGTCACAGGAAACCGAAACCTCCAGGTCTTTTCCCCAGCAAACCGTGAGCCTCACAAAGCTCCCTGCAAACTGCCGTGCCCATGTCTCTGTGGGGCCCCAGGCCCAGCACTGAGCCATCTGGCAGCGGCTGTGCCCGTAACTCACCCCTGAATCTCGAAGCAGGAAGAGTTTCCTAGCAGTAAAGGAGCACGTATTTTTCCCTGAATCATTTTGTTACTTTATTAGTCATTCAACAAATGCTCCAAGGCTCAGTTCCGTGTTGGGTGTTACTCTGGGCACTTGCGATGCAAAACTTATTAAAATGCGGCTGCTGAGCTCCAGGGAATTCTGTTATCCTGGAAGGGAAATCCGGGGGTTGCTCCGAGGCTGTCTCTCTTCCCCGGGGGCCGAAGGAGGTGGGTGCAGGTTCTCAGCTCTGCGGTGACGGGGTCTGGAGAGGAAACCGAGGTGCCTGTGGTCTGCGGGTGGAGGTTTGTGCGCTGTAATCTAAACTACACCTGAGCTGGCAGACCCAGCCCACACTTTTACCGCAGTGTGACGGGCTGGCTTGCAGTCCTATAGCTCTTCATGAGGGACACGGGAAGCCATCCACGGGCTCACCCACTTGGCATGACATGCGGAGAATACTTGAGCTTCAATACTTGAGGGTGCACATGCACAAAAGTGGCAAAACGGGCCACGGACGCGCTTGCGTTCTTTGCGCGTGTTGGCCCGAGCATCACGGAGGGTCCAGCGGACCCACAGTGGACCCACAGCTCTCAGCATTTGTGGAAACAGTTTCTAATTATGATTTTCTTTTGGTGGCTCAGCGCAGTTTACTGCTACATGAAAAACCAGACTGGCCAGCTTCGGAGCGGGTCCGCAGTGAGTCACCAGCTTCCTCCGGTGTGGAGGGGGACCGTGACCCCATTATAAGGTTTGCATTTGGTCAGCAGAAGGGTGGTGTGGGTGGATGACAGAGACCATGAGCGTGCCTGTGATGTCGCTCGTGAGGCAAAGTCCTCGTGACAGTGAAAGTGGTGCAAACTGAGCAGCTCTAGACCCAGGAGAGGATTTCCTGTAGTCATGAAGGGATGGAAAAGGCGGGAAACAGGGGGCTGGGGATTTAGCTCAGCGGCATAAGCACCTGCCTTGCAAGCAGGCAGTCGTGAGTTCGGTCCCCGGTACCGATAAAAACGAAAAAGACAAAAAAAAAAAAGAATAAAAAAAAAAGGCGGGAAACAGAGGTGTCAGATATGGTGGCCCACGCCTGTCATCCCAGCACTTGGGAGGCTGAGGCAGGAGGATCGCTGCGAGTTCAAGACCAGCCTGGACTGCACAGTGAGCTCAAGGCCAGCCTGCACTGCACAGCGAGACCCTGCCTCAAAAAGACAAAAAGAAAAAAGTACAGGGTAAAACTTTATGCCCTTGGGGCCGGAGATGTACCTCAGTGGTACAAGCACCTGCCTGGCAAGCGCACAGTCCTGAGTTCAATTCCTGGTACCAAAAAATAAAAACAAATTGGAGATGTGCAGAGTCAGTATGCTTTCAGCTCGGACACTCGTCCTGAAACTCGGTCATCGGGTCCTTATCCATTTTTTTTGGTACGGGGAATCGAACTCGCGACCTTGGGCCTGCCAGGCTGTGGCTGTGCACTGAGCTGCACCCGCCGGGTCTCTGTTCCTAGAGTAATAAAGCGCTTGATGATGTGAGTGCACTTGGTGCCTCTCAATTAGTGTGTGGTGTCCACACTGATTGGAAGGTGACCCTGGGCAGCTGGGTCACCTGAGCACAAGCTGACCAGGCGGGCCCTGGACACGGACCCAGGATGGAAACTCCTGGTCAGATGCTGCCATTTCAAACCCATTGCACTAGGCCTGTAGTCCAGTCTGTGCTTCAGGAGGACACAGCATGGGCCTCCGAACAGCACAGGAAAGCAAGCTGGACCCTGCTGTGACATCTGCCCATCAGCGAGGGGGCACCGCCAGGGAAACCCTGGTAGGGCGCACGCAGGACAGGGAAACTCGGAGGTCCACGCTGCCGCTGAGCTACGGGGCAATCATGGGTCACCCGAAACGCGGGACACCAGCCAACGGTAGTGTCTTACTGGACCTAAACATGCGTGACATGAATTTGTTCCACAGTTTACAAAGAAAGTAACAGACTGGGGGTTTAGCTCAGCAGTGTAAGTGCCTGCTTGGCAAACTCAAGGTCGTGAGTTCAATCCTTGGCACCAAAAAAGAAAGTATCAGGTGCAGAGTACCAGGGAGAGATTTCCTTAGCCGACTGGGACCCCTATTGATGCCCCTTGACAAAGTCAGCCCTGGCCCTGAGGGCTAAGACACTGCCCGTGTGCCTTAGGGATCTGAGGTTACCCAGTAAAATGACAAAAGGCAGCATTCCAGGAGGCTGAGGCAGGAGGATCACGTTCAAAGCCAGACTTTATAAACTACATACAGAAACCCTGTTTCAAAAAAAAAAAAAAAAAACCTGTCTTTGCAAGCTGCCACTTAGAAGAAAGCCAAGATGCAGCTCAGGGGGCACTGTGGTTTATTTATCTGGTCACCTCCATCCTCCTCTCCTGCTTCCTTCTCACTGCCCCAGCCCACTGGGTTCTTGGCTGCTGTTGCCCCAGGACCTTTGCATACCCACTGCCTGCAGGTTCTTTGCCAAGGACTCGCTCAGTTACCCCACCTGGCTCCTCTCCATTCAAACGTCGTCTTTTTGGCAAGGCAGTCTCTGTGTTATTTAAAAATGCACCCCGCGCTCTCCACCCACTGGTCTGCCATTTCTCCCTCAGCACTGTCTCACAGAATGAATGTTTCATTTATTCCCATTTCCTACCTGTTTGATGACCCCCAGCTCCACAAGGACAGGAGTTTCTCCCGCCCTTCCTTCCCCACAGTGCTGGGATGGGACCCAGGGCCTTGCACAAACCACGTTCCCGGCTCAGGGACAGTAATTCTTTTGCCACTTTTTTTTTTTTTTAATTTTTTGGTACCGGGGATCAAACTCATGACCTCAAGCTTGCCAGGCAGGCGCTTGTGCCCAAGCTAAATCCCTGCCCTTTGCCACTTTTGTTCATTGCAGTGAACAAGCATTAAGAACGGCCAGCACAGCAGAGGGGCCCAATAAATGTCCCTGCATAGCCAGGCGTGGCAGTGCAGTGCACACCCTGTTGGCCCAGCACTCAGGAGGCTAAGGCAGGAGGATCAGGCCAGCCTGGGCTATGCCGAAGTTCAAGGTCAGCCCATTAGGAGTAGTGAAACCCTTCTCCACCCCAACCATGAAGAAGAAAAACAATATTTGTTAGTTGGATAGGTGCAGACTATGTGCCAACAACCAACTTTGGGGTAAGGGAAAACCAGAACTGAACCCGGGGTCTTAGCATGGAGCCTGGCCCCTTCTTCTGGTGGGTAGAGGCTCACGAAGTTACTGTACCACCCAGGCTGGGACCTAACTTGCCAACCTCCTGCCTCAGCCCAGGGATGGGGCATCACAGCTTGTGCTCCTCTGTGGCTGAGATAGCCATTAATGTAAGGGCAAGTTTCCTGCTAAGTTGTTTGGAAATACGTGCTAATTATTTTTTAGTACTGGGACTCAAACCCAGGGCTTGTGCATGCTGAGTACACGCTCGGCCACTGGGCTGTGTGTGTCTCCAGTGACAAGGAGTTTTTGTTTCTGCTTTTTTATTTTTAGGACAGGATCTTGCTGTATAGTCCAGGCTGGCCTTGAATACATGGAGATCCTCCTGCCTCAGCCTCCTGAGTGCTGGGATTATAGGCACAGTTCACCACAACCAACTCCCTGAGGATTTTCCTTTTTTTTTTTTTTTTTTGTATTGGGGATTGAACCTTGTGCTTGCCAGGCAGGCGCTTAGACCACTGAGCTAAATCCCCAGTCCCTTTTTTTTTTTTCTTTCTGAGACAGGGTCTCTATATGCAATTCAGGCTGGCCTTGAGCTCACTTTGTAGCCCAGGCTGGTGTCGAAGTCGCAGCGATCCTCCTGCCTCAGCCTCCCGAGTGCTGTGATGCCAGGCGAGCGCCATTACCTGAGCATTTTCTTGGGCAGCTGCCGTGATCCATTACCACACCAGCTGAGAGCAAAACCTCTAGCGATTTCCCCCATCTTCCGAGGTCTCAGGATACACAAACTCAGGAAGGAAGTCGCTTGCACATAGGAGCCAGCTTGATCCGGGAGTCCCCGCCCACTCTGCGTTCCTGGCGTGGGCTGGGGTGGGGGCCAGCTCTGGAAGCCTGGCTCTTGCTCTGGCAGGGTGTGGCCAAGGGCCCCCCAGGGCTTACAGGGGTGCTCAGCCCAGGGCAGGGGCCAGGTCTGCACTGACCTGTGGCCTGTTCTGGTCGCAGGCCGGGGCCAAGAGACCTTCTTGTGACGCTGTGATGACTATGGCCCACACACGGCTGCTTCACACCAGTGCTGCCCTTGTGAGTGAGAGTGCATGTGAGATCTGATCGCACCTCCTCACACATCTGGAAGATGGGAACCATCGCGCCTTGTTCACGGCTGAGGAAGTGGAGATGCAGAGGCTGGGCCACTCAGTAGAGCGCGGTCAAGCTGGGACTCAACCCTGCACGGAGGAGGGACTGGAGAGGACACAGGTTACTGGTAAAGTGCGGTGATGTACGTCAGTCACCCGAGCCCCTGGGAAGCTGAGGCAAGAGGATGGCAGCTTGGAGCCTAGCCTGAGTGACTCAGCAACTGAGGGAGACCCTGTCTCAAAAACTGGAATGTTGTGGTGACGCACGCATGGCACCCAGCACTTGGGAGGCTGAGGCAGGAGGATCGCTGAGTTCAAGGCCAGCCTAAGTTACATTGTATGACCTTGTATCAAAAAATTGAAATAAAAAAAGGCAGAAATGAAAGAATGACCTGAACATTTCAGCAGCTAGGTGCTGGCCTGTCAGAGTAGGGTCCTCGCAGGGGCGCTGCCCCTGGACTTCCGGAAGTTCTTGGCTCCATTTCTTCTGAAACTGTGCAGCATGGCTGGTACTGAGTTCAGGCGTGGGCTGGTGCTTAGGGAGGAGGCTGGGTGCCCCATGCTTAGCCTTCAAATCAGGAAAATCCTCAGCCTGACAGTGGATGTTCTGAGCCCATGTAATCAGTTACCTTGTAATAAAACCAGTTCCTCCAAAAAAAAAAAAAAAAAGAGTAAACACTTCCCAGCGGCACATCCAGCAGGGCAGGAAACGTCTCCCCAGGGTGGGGCGGCCCTGGCCCTGCTCCTGAAGCCTCGCTCTGGTTCCGGGCTGCCTGGCACTGGGCCTGCACGGCCGGCACACTGCACACCGCACCCTCCGGGGCTAGGGCCTGGCCTCAGCATCAGCCCCACTGCGGCCCTAACTGTCCAGCGGGGTTGGACCCACTGTGCTCAGGCACCCAAGGCTGGCTGGGCTGCCCTCCTCCCCCTGCTGGCCCCAGACTGTGTGTCTGGCCTTCCTGCCTGCTCCCCGCTGCCTGCCTCTGGAGGGGAGCCCCCATCCCCACCCCAGCCCAGTTCCCCAAACAGATGCGCAGGACTGCTCCCCGAGGTTGGCATCAGTCTTTAATGCTGGCAGGCTGCACAGTGACAAGTCACACATTTGGTCTGGTTGGCAGGAGTCATACAATGTACTAGACTGGCCTCCAGGGAGTGTCACCCAGCCTTCCCTGGCCCCAAGGTCCCCTCATGGGCGTGGGCAGGGCGGGACAAGAGGCGTTGGACCGACTGTACATGGAGACCGCACACGGAATTACAAAACTGTATTTACAGCTGATCCGAGGTGCTCCTGTAATCAGGAGCGAAAACCCTTTTATCAAAAGGGAGTAAGTATACCTAGGGCTGTGCAAAATCCAAAAGGATCAGATCCCTTTGAGAGTCCAGAGTCCGTTCAGCAAAACGTGACTGGGGCGGCTGCTGGGCCCCAGGGACCCCGAGGAACTCCTTCCTCCCGGAGCAGCCAAGCTCCGTGGGGACAGTGGGAGTGGGCTGCACTGCAGACCCCAGACCCCACCGGGGGCCCCCAGGCCGGCGCCTTCAGTCCTGCCCTGAGGAGGTATTGCTTGTGGTGCCGGCTGGGGCTCTCCCGGGGGGAGACACGGGATCAGATGCGACCTCGTCTTGAGGCAGTGACTGGAGTGTATGGCCCAGCCCGGGCGGGCAGACCTGATGCTGTTCCTGCTGTTCCCGGCACTCACCACTCTGTCGCTCGAAAAACCACTGAAGCACAACTTTGAAAGATTGCAATATATTCTCCGCCCAGCCCAGGTGCCGGCCGCCCTCCCGGACCCCCACGCCGAGGTGCTTCGCACAGGTCCCGGCAGCCCGCGCCACCGCTATATCGGGAGAACCTGCTCGAGGACGGTCCGAGATGTCTGTGGGAGCCGCTCGGGAAAGGTCACTTCGAACTCGATGATGAGGTCCCCACGCTTCTCGGGCGTCTTTGGGAGGGGAAGGCCCTCGCCTGGGACTTTCCGCCTCATGCCGGGCCTGATGACGTCTTTGAACACCACGGGGATGGTCCTGCCGTCCAGGGTGGGGACGTTTACTGTGCAGCCACACAGGGCCTTGGGAAGCAAAGTGACAATGTGAGGGGAGACACCTGGGCCATCTTGTGCCCAGACCTCTACATCTACAACTACCCGTGTGGCTGGGTGTGGTGGGGCACAGCTGCCATCCAGCACTCAGGAGGCTGAGGCAGGAGGGTGGAGAGGCAAGTTTGAGACCAGCCTGGGCTACAAAGCGAGCTCAAGGCCAGGCTGAACTGCACAGCAAGACCCTGTCTCAAAAAGATAAATGAAACAAAATAAAAATAATAAGGGCCTCGGATTTTAGCTCACTGGCACAAGCATCTGCCCGGCCAGCTCAAGGATGTGAATTTGATCCCAGAACCAAAAATAAAAAAAATTTAAAAAATAAAATAACCGAGCCCCCCCCACCCTTGCAGTGCCCACTCAGGAAGCGTCACCCAAGCAAAGCCAGGGCGCCTGGCCCAAGCCGCTCACCTCCCGCAGGCTGATCCGGGCGGGGTAGACCACGTCGGAGCCGTCCCGCTTGAAGATGCTGTGCGGCTTGTCCTTTAGCACGAAGACGATGTCTGCGGGGATGTTGTTGGAGGTCTGGTCCCCCTCCTTGGGGAAGGTGATCTTGGTCCCCTCTTTCCACCCCTTCTTCACCTCGATGGTCAGGATCTTGTCCTCGCTGCGCGTGCTCTTGCCGTCGGGGTTGAGCCGCTTGTGCGAGATCTTCATCTTCTTGGTGCAGCCGTTGTAGATCTCCTCCAGCGAGACTCGCAGGTCGTGGGTGACAGGCGGGTCCTGTTTCTTGCGCGCGGGCTCCTGCGCGGACCGAGAGCGGCCAAAGTTCATGCTGGGAAAGCCGCCCATGCCCATGGGGAAGCTGGAGAACGGGTCGTCGATGTCCATGCCCTCCTCGCCGTTCCGCTGCCCGAAGAAGGTGTCGAAGGGGTTTCTCCCGCCAAAGAATTCCGCGAACATCGCGTGCGGGTCCCCGTGGAACGTGTAGCTGAAGGAGGTCCCGTTGGTGCCACCGCCACCGCCGCTGGGGCCGCCACCTTTGAGGCCTGAAAAGCAAGACCGGAAGTCAGACGGCTTCCCAAGGGGGAGAAGCTTGGGGACCCAGGAGAGAAACACGAAGCCCCGCCAGGGCACCAGGCCTCCGCCGCTCAGGCAGCAGCGCGGCCCAGGCCTGCGATTGCAGAGCTCAGGAGGCTGAGGCAGGAGTGCCGGCCTGGGGTACGTAGTGGGTTCAAGGCCAATCCTAGCTGCAGCGTGAAACCCTGCTTGCAAAACGAATACGCACAAAATAAAGACAGCGCCTGCGCTCCGGCTCCGAGGGGGCCACCTGTAGGTTTCAGTCCACCGCCACTGCAGCCACCCAGGCTCCTGGCTCCACGCTGCAGGCGCAGAGCTCGGGAGAGGCTGAGCTGGGGACAGCTTTGGGTGCAAGCATTAAAGAGCCCCCGGGGCAGGCGGGGCAAAGCCGCCGCTTCAGCCAGGCGCGCTGCTGCACGCCAGCGACCTCAGCTGCGCTGGGGGGTGGGGAGGGGGGGCGGCTATGGCAGGACCGATCGCCAGGTCTGTATCCAGCATGGGCAACTTAATAGACCTGATCTCCAAAAAGAAATCCCCAAAACACAAAGCCTGCAAACACAGCACTCCAGAGGCAGAGGCAGGAGCATCGCCGTGAGAAAAACGAACAAAGACTTAAAAGACGGAGGGCTTTGGAAAAGTAGCGCAGCGCGGGAGCCTCGGGTGCAATTCCCAGCACCGCAAAAAATTAAAATAAATAAAAAGCAAAACCGGCAGCGCCGCGCCCGGCCCGCCCGCTGTGCTGGAAGCTTCGGCGCCCGCTCCGCCTCCGCAGGGCGGGGGCGCGGCCGGACCGCGGGGCGCCGGGCCGCACGCACCCTCCTCGCCGTAGCGGTCGAAGATCTCGCGCTTGCGCGGGTCGCTGAGCACGTCGTAGGCCTCGGCGATCTCCTTGAACTTCTCCTCGGCCCCCGGCTCCTTGTTCTTGTCGGGGTGGTAGCGCAGCGCCTGGCGGCGGTACGCGCGCTTGATCTCCTCGTCCGACGCGCCGGGGCTCAGGCCCAGCGTCTGATAGTAATCCTTCCCCATGAGGCCCACCGCCCGCCGCCGCCGTCCCCGGCTCCGCCGCCGCCCCGTCCGGGACTGTATATACCCGTCCGGCGGAAGCTTCCAGAGCCCGCCAGCCCCCTCCAGAACGTTCCGCCCCGCCCCCTCAGTCGCCCGGCCAATCACAGCCTCTAAATGAGTGACGTAAACATCCGGGGCGGGGCCCGGCCGCCAACCGCCGTCCGCCCCAGGTCACGTCCCTCCCCGCTCTACGCTGGCAACGCCTCCTCGCGTTGCACTTACTGGGCCGAGGAGTCCCGCCCACCCCGCGACGACAGCCAATCGTAACGCTCTTTCGAGGCCTCATTGACCTGTCGTGCGCCCCGCCTCCTGCCCGGGTCCATAGGTTATGATGCTCTCGGTAGAGGTGGTGGAGCGCTCGGCCCTGGGGTTTGCTGCTCCCCGGCCCCGACCCTGAGCACGCACGGGTCCGGCGACAGCCGTGCGGCCTCACTTCTTTCCGCTGCAGGCCACCTGCTGTCACCGAGGGGCGACAGTGTCCGCCCACCCGCGTTCGGCCTCCTGCCTGGACAGAGCTATGTAATCCCTGCACCGGGGAGACCGAGGCAGCTGGTTTGCAAGTTGGAGGCCAGCCTCGGTAACTTAGTGGGAAAAATAAGCAGCAGAAACCTAAGCAAAAAACTAAGTGAATCTGGTTGAGCTTGTGGGTCAGGATAGAATGAGTGTTTTGGAGGTGTGAGGCCCCGGATTCGATCCCCAGGACTGAAAAGCAGCAAAACCCAAACACCACACCAAACCAGTAGCTGCGCTTAAGCTGCAGGGCGCTTGAGAACTCTGCCACTAAGCCGGCCTCTGCCAGACCTCCGGATCTGGGGCTGCGGTGCTGAGTTCCGGGCCCAAGGCTTGTGATCCCCGGAGATGTGACAGACGGGTTGCTGTGAAAGGTGCCCGTGGAAGTGGGTGGGTGACATCTGCAATCGTGGGCTTCAGCTCAGGAGAGGACTCCGGAACAGATGCGGCAGTTCTGCTCGAGTTTCCACTCCGCCCTACGCATCTCAGCCTCACCAGGGGGTGCGAGCCAAGTCCTTGAAATAAATCTGTTTTTTAAAATTTATTTATTTACTTATTTTTGTAGTGCTGGGGACGGAACCCAGTGACTTGCGCTTAATATTCAAATGCTCGCGGCTGAGCGGCCTAGCCATAAAGTAGATGGAAAACACACCCACGCATGCGCACTTGCCACGCATTCTGTTCCTGTGCGGGGGTTCCTGACGGGCAGAGGAACCAGCGGGGGAATCTGGGCTCAGTCACCCCAGCCCAAGCCTTGGAAGGACCCGATATTTACTTATTGCAGAGATGCTCTTGTGCGATGGTCTCTCGGGGTGCCTGTCTGTGCTCTGTAAAACGGAGATAAGAATAGATTGTATCTTTTCGTGTTGCTATGTGGGTGAATTTGAGTGGGCCAGGAAATGAGTGTCATTGTAACAACAGCGAAGCTGGATGTAGTGGCCGAAGGCTACAGTGCTGGCCCCCAGGAGCCCGAGGCAGGAGGAGCTTCCTGAGATTCAGGCATGCATGCCAGGCGAGTGCTCACAACTGAGTCCCTGTGAACTCATGGAGATGCAGAACCACCCTGAGACTCTCAGTGGCACAAGCCTGCAGCCTGAGTTGTACTGTCCTTACCCCTTTACAGTCTGGGAGACTGAGGCTCTGAGTAGTCACGTGACCCGCCTTCCCCAGTGAGGGGAATGCTGCCCCGTCAGAATGTCCAGTGCTTACAGGAAGTAGCTTGTGTCTGATGTGACTCAGGTGATAGCAGTTAATGGCTGCAACAGCATTTCCGCGCTCTTCACCTGCTGCTCAGTCTCCAAAACCTGATGGCCACAGGCACCACCCTCTCATACCTCGAGGGACTCTCAGGTTTCATTAAAATGAAAGGGGTCCACATGACAGAAGAGCTTCATCTTAACAGGTCTGTCGAGGAATCACCAACACGGATTAAAACCAACATGTCCTTGCTGGACACAGGGCTGCAATTCCAACAACTTTGAGGCTGAGGCAGGAGGATCTCCAGTTACATAGTGAAAACCTGTCCAAGAAACTAAAACGGGCTGGGTATGTAGCTCAGTGTTAGCACATCCTCAGATTCAGTCCCCGGTACCTGAAATAAACCAAGCCAAACCAAAAGAAAAAGGCTTGTCTTTCAGTGGGTGAATGGATAAAGGAACTGTAATTCATTCACATGATGGAATATTATTCAGTCATGACAGGGACCAAGGTCCGAGTAAAGGCACAGTGCTTGTATATTTCAAACAGCCTTTGTAACACAAGCCAGGCTCCCAATAAAATCTGATTACAAAAAAGTCAGACTCAAAGGGCCCTGTGATTCCATTTTCTTTTTTCTTGTTTTTTTGAGACAGGGTTGGGGCTGGGGATTTAGCTCAGCGGCATAAGCACCTGCCTTGCAAGCAGGCAGTTGTGAGTTCGATCCCCGGTACTGATAAAAAGGAAAAAGACAAAAAAAAAAAAAAAAAAAAAAAAAAAAAGAGATAGGGTCTTGCAATGTCCTTCAGGCTGCCTTGAACTCATTATGTAGCCCAGGCTGACCTCCAATTCATCGATCCTCCTGCCTCAGCCTCCCAAGTGTGAGATTACAGACGTGAGCCACCACACACACCTGGCTTGTGATTCAGTTTTCCATGGCTTTCTAGATACAGCAAAAGAATCAGGACAGATAGCAGATCTATGGTTTTCTGGGGTGAGGAATCTGTCTCACCCCAGGTGATAGAAATGTCTGTATCTGAGTGTGGTGACAGTTACAAGGCTGGATATGTTCAGGGCTTGCCACACACTACACAGTGGGGATTGTACTGTGGGGAAATTATACCTCAGGTTACAGGGAGGCAGGTGCCAGGCTGCACCTGTAGTCCAGAACTTGGGAGGCTGACGCAGGAGGATCATGAGTTTCGGGCCAGCCTAGGTTACATTTATGAGACCTTGTAGAGACAGAGACAGAAAGAGAGAGAGAGAGAGAGAGAGAGAGAGAGAGAGAGAGAGAGAGAGAGAGACTGAGAACGAATGAGCCTTGGGCTGTGGCATACAAATCTCAGTTACTTGGGAAGCAAAAGCAGGAGAATCTCAAATTCAAGGCGGTTCTGGGCAACTTAGTGAAACCCTGTCTTAAAATTTCAAGAGGACTGAGGATGTAACTTAGTGCTAGAGGCTTTGCCTAGCAGCCCCAAGGCCCTGAGTTCAACCCCCAGTACTATTAAAACAAACAAACAAACAAACAAACAAACAGAAAACTCCTATGTGCCTGGGAAGGCAGTGTGGGCTGCAGGGGCCTCGCCCTGGCTCCTGACGCAGCAGAAACTTCCAGGCGGCCTCGGCTTGTCCATGGGGCTTCCCTGCCCGCTCCCTGCTCATACCTGATGACAGGCCAGGCCAGGTTCTGGAGACGCCCTGCCCTGCCCGCCCTGTGCGTGGGAGGCACAAAGGCAACCTGTGAGCGGACCCTAGTGAGCACCTCCAATTGCCACCCTCAGTGCCCTTGGGTCCCCCACACCGAAGGCCTCAGGAGGCTCCAATCAGCCCAGACCCCAGGCAGCCCGCAGTTCCCGCCTTCATGGCGATCTTCTGAAATCTTCTGATCACTCATCGAGCTGAACAGACCAAGTCATGGCGAGGAATGGGTCACCTACAGTTAGAGAGCAGCTGTCCCTCGGAGACTTGGCCGGGGCTGTGGGACGGTTGGTTTAGCGGTGGCCAGTCTTCATTCTGGGTGTGAGGTTATCTTCTGCTGTCCCTGGCTACTCTACAGGCTGAGGAGGGACAAAGAGGGACATTTACCAGAGCTCAGGAATTGGCTGCCAGGCAAGGAACACTTCATCTCACAAAAAAAAAAAAAAAAAAAAAGATGCAGGCACACCTAGGAGGCTGAGGCAGGACAATCCATTGGCAAGAGTTCCAAGCCAGCCTGGATTCCAGAGGGAGTTCAAGGGCAGCCTGGTCTACAGAGAAGAACGGTTTCAAAAACCAACAAACAAGTTTGATCCCTGGTACCGGTAAAAAAAAAAAAAAAAAAAAAAAAAAAAAAAACAACCAACAAACATTGTTATGTTTTGCTTTACCTTCTTTAAACAACAACAACAACAGAATCCAAAATCAATAAGCTGGGCATGGTGGCACACACCTGTAATTTCAGTCCTCTGGGAGGCTGAGGCAGGAGGATCATGAGTTTGAATTTAACCTGTGCAGTTTGTCTCAAAATTAAAAGAAGTGGAGGGGGTCTGGGGAAGCCGAGATTGAAGCTAAGTGCAAAGGCCCTGGGTTCAATGGTCCCTGGTATCACAGATGAAACCAGACAAACAAGAAGACTGTCCTCTTCCCGGCTGGATTCTGCCCTTCCATGGTAAGCACTTCCCATAAGTGAGGCGGGTTGGCAGCGATTACGTGCCTGGCTGCTGGTGCATAATAGGTGCACAGTGATGATCTGCTGCCTGTTGAGTGAATGTTGGCCTCATAAAATCGGCTGTGAAAGGTGTTTCCACTGGGTGCAGAGTTCGTGGGCGGATGTGTGGGATCTCCTGCATGACATCTGCTTGGACCTGTAACCAGTGGTACAGTGCAGCTAACCTCAGCCAGCCTCAGAGAAGCAGGAAACTGGCAAAGCTGGGAAAGTGCCAGAGCGTGGCTGGATTTTAGAGGCTCCCTGTAGCCTGCTTGGCTTTGCACAACTAGCTCACCTTGGGAGGACCTTATCCTGTGGCCTCTGGGTAAATACTGACCGTTCACATCCCAAGAGGGTCAGGGAAGCCTGTTGGAACACAAAAAGCCTCAGGATACTATAAGCGCCTCAAGTGCCAACAGAAAAAAAATCTTCAATTTAGCTAGGCACAGTGGTGCTCACCTGTAATCTCCTCTGCTATGGAGGCTGAGGCAGGAGGGTCGGAAGTTCAAAGCCAGCCTGGGCAACTTAGCAAGACTTTCTCTTAAACTAGAAAGGGCCAGGGATGAGGCTC